CACGATATGACCCCCGTGTCGTTGTTTGTTTTGGGGCACGTCCCTTAGTCTCGACTTCCGAACGTGCGCGCATCATTTACCGCTAATGAGACCATTTTCAATTTTGATTTATGAACCGAAATATTGTCACAGCCCATTGTTTCACGTGCTCACTGGTTCTCGAAAGCAAACGCGAGCGCCATTGTGACGACAAAGAGCGAAAATATAATTTTACATGCACCTCCCATTGTCATCATTACGTATTTACATTTGGAATTCGTGCAGCTTCGGCAGGTGTGGACTATTTGTTCAATTGTTTGTCCGTCTGTCCCTCTCCTTGTCCGATTGTTTGCATGTCGTCTGGTCGGCTTGTTGGTCCGAAAGCGTACTTGTGTCTATAATTGCGCCACTCTGTCGGGATTTGTTTTATGGCCACTTCTGGCAAATGTGAAAAAGTTAATTAAAAAAAACTGTCGCCCCCCCATGTTTGCAATATTATTTACTTTTCACACTCGTAGTGGGCATAAAAACATGATTGTCTGCTCTATTGTTGACCTTTTATGAAGGTGTGTGTACTTTATGGTGTAATAAAAGTACTTATAATTAAACAAAAATAAACTGCATTTAAAATGATACACCTTTATACAAAAAAATATTTAAATGCTTACATCGTCATAAAGGGAAGTAAAAAAATGTGTCGAATATTTTCGTAACGAATTTTTATAAAAGCCTATTGTTTTGATCCGTACATTTATAAAAATTAGTAAACGGAAAAAAGTTTTTAAATACCCGCCAATATAGACGCTTGTATGAAGGACTTAAACATATTTGTCTTTGTTTAATTTTATAATTTGTCTAAACACAAGTAATACATTCTTAAAATGATATAAAAACTAAATTTTACACCATTAAAGAGATATCTGTTTGTGCTGCAATTGTATAAATACCACAACACTTCTATTATATGTACACAACCGTAAACTAGAGCCCATTTGTTGACAAATCTATTTAATTAATCGAGCATACACAGAATTTCAGTCAAGCATTTAAACGTTAAAGTGAATTGCGGAAGGCATTTCTTGCAACTTTCAAACTGTTTGTTTACTCATACAAACAAAATTAGCTATTGAAGCATCTCGTCAAGGCTGCGGGACTGGGACTGGGACTGCCTTTGCCGAAACCAATGGGCGTTTATGCTTCACTGCCTCAACAATTGAAAAACACACAACCACTCAACACTCACACATTCGTGCCAACAACAAATAGGAATGGACTATTCATTCTTTCGAAAAGGCTTGCCTTTATTTTCAATGGGTAATTCACACAACTTCCTTAGCAGTGTCTTTTTTTTCAATGCATGTTCTGCTTGAAGTCCTTTAAATTATATTTATGTGCACATATTTTGTGATTGGATTTCAGCCTTTTCCTTTTTCGCTATAAAACCGACGAACCTGACGCTTCCCAGTGGCCAACTCATGATCCGGAGTGGGCCGAAATAACAAAACAGCAGTAATAAGCATAACAACAAAAACAACAACAGCAGCGACGGCCATTTTATAACCTTTGTCTACGGAAGACAAGCTCTCAAAATCAATAAGCGTATGAAATGCCATAAAAATAAAATTACAGCTGTTATGTTCAGTGCTTTTTAAATTCAAAACGCGCGGCATATTTTTAATAAAGTTCACTTACAGCTTTTATTCGATGTGTACAGTAAATTACACATACGCCCCGTTCCCACCCTCTTGAAGGTCAAGAGTCGCAAGCGTGCGTCACAGCCCGCGCCGCAATGCGAGTAATAAAATTTTTTGGGAACATGTAAGCCCAGCTCGTGAAGCCAAAATTAAGTGCTACCAAATTTAACTACACATTTTTATATGCACTCGAATTCGTGGTGGCACTAAGCCGATCAAATATTTACCCTGCCACATAATATTTACACACAATGGATGATGTGGAGGCGTGATGGCCAAACAGTTCAAATCCATTAAAACAAACTGTGTGTAGTGAATTGATTCATGCATATGTTGCGTTTAAATTGACTAATAGAGAAAAAAAGCAAAAAGATGTAAGTACATAAATCTAAATAAACGTCGAGGAACCTTTGAGTTTTTAGAAAAAAGTGCCAAGCATATTAATATTCTATCATTGTTATTGCAAATATCATATTTAAAATAATTTAATAACTACTGTGTTTGGCTACTCATATGCCTCTATTGTTTTGCTTAATTATAAATACATAATATAAGCGGGAAACTGTTCAAAAATATTAAACCCATTATGCAAATGTTTGCTAGAAAGTGCCCAAAAAAGTATGCTACGTTTCCAACAAAAACATTTTTCTTTTTGGCTTTAATCTTATTTGAATAGAAAATTTTGCTTTAAATTCTGAAATAAAACATTTAATAGAGCAATTAAATTTTAAAGATAAACTCGCTGGCGAGCTGTGTATGAATAATTTATTCTTAAAATATTAAAGTGAAACATAAAAGGCCTAACGAACTCACACACAACTGGCATAATACATATATATACATATATAAACTTTGCTCTCTCTATATATTCTCTCATATTTTTATAGTAATGACAAGTCAGAGAAGAAAGAAAACATCCATTACCCCATTAATTGCATAAAAATAATTTAACAAATATGACTATAATATTTTTTTTTGTTAAAGAGCGATAAAGATGAAACAGTTTTCAACATAATTACCCAAATTAAAAAAGCCTTGAAGGAAAAATAGAAGAAACACACAGCTATCTGATTGTAGCCTTTAACAAATTACATCCTTTTCCTTCATAAGAATGCGTCATCTTTAAGCTGGACACTTCATACTAAGTACCTGCATTCCCGACAAATTCTTCACTAAAACATACATAGACATATATGTGTATATAACCATCTGTCATAAGCTTCCGTTTTAGTCATTTTAGTGACGTCTTAGACCTGTTCACGTGTCATCCCAAGTAAAAAGTAAAAAAAAAAAGAGAATACTATTATGCGCATGGTAATAAGCTTAACTCGGACTCAGACATTTGTTACGGACTTTCGCCTTCGCAACTCGCACCTGTTCTTTCCGACGGATGCCTGAATAAACAGTACGAATTGGTTTGTCCCTCTCAAAGCTTAAACAAAAACTACAACAGAATTGAAAAGCTTGGGAAAATATAAAAGCTGACGGCTTAGAGGCCGGCGACGTATTTCCGGAGCGTGCTGACATTTGTTTGTGTTTGTCAAAGTGAGTTAGGGATTTGAATGCTGTTTGAGTGTTGCGTATAGGTTTACTTTGAATTTTGCGAAATTTAATTATTGCAACACCAAGGGGTGAATGTATCTGTTTTTGAATGTTTGAAAAGCAATCGGCATGCTAACACGATTGCAAGAGGTGGGGGAGATAAGGGAGATAATGCAACAATTTAAATTAAATATATCTTAGTCTGTGTATATGATATGGGCTTTAAGCACTATAAATATTCAGTTTAATATTTAGGTCGTTCTAGCATTAGTAAGTCGATTAATTTAGTATAGTTCCTTTTTCCAGTTCTGTTTACATTATCTTTGAAGTAAATGCTCTAAGGCTTGTGGAAACTGTGACTCAAACAGTTATCATCATTAACTAATCGCTTCAAAAACTAATAACTATAGTTTCTAATTGAAAATTTAAGCATGTCTGTGTTTTTTACAATAAACATTTATTTCTAATATTTGCATTGAGGTCAGGAAATTTGTATAAGCCTATATACGAGCATGAATAGTAAATCCTGTTGTACCTGCCAAATAATTATAAAATCAAACCATAAAATTATTTTATTTTTATTCCGATCTGACTTTAATGACAACGTTTATGTGCACTTATCAATATAAATGAATTTAACTCATCTTATTCAATTAAAATGCTTTTCAGCTGTTTTAGGCATGTATTAAATGGACGCATTCAACGTTAAAGTCATTCATGATGGTTTAAGCTGTCTAATATAAGCTCTCTGCGTTAAACTGAAACCAGTGACTTATTATCCAATAAAGAGCTTTAATGACGTCAATTAATTTATGTAATATTTGCCGCATTTCCGCTGTCATTGGCGATTGTGAAACCCATTATTATGGGTTAAATAACGCTGCTATTGAGAATATACTGAAGGGAATAGATAGACCGTAAGTGCAACCGATAAGGCACATTAAGTGCATTTTAATTGCACAATCGATTGAAAATAAAAGGATTTATGTTACAAATATTTATGTGTGCTAGGCTCATTACTCAGGGCTCAATGATTGCTTCAATTAATAAGCTGCTGACGTCAATAAATTTCAAGTGCTTAAAAATTAAGCATATCTTGCAGAGTGTTAAATTTTGTAAATAAAATTATTTTCAGTTTGCTAGTTTCCTCTTAAATTTGAACACATGTTTTATTAATTAATACGGAGTGTGCTGGATGTGTTGCGCCTTCCGGGTATGCAACACTTTTTTGTAAACCAGCGCGAGCTCTCATTTTAAAAAATTAAAAAAAAAAAAATTAAAATAAAAGTAAAAAATGTAAAGTCCAAAAGCCTTTAAAATAGATGAAGAGATTTGTTTAATGTATTGATGATTAGATTTTAAATGCTGAATGGCAAATTCAAACTTAACTCAACAAACTAATTCAAACTTAAAGAGCTTGCAATTGAATAAAGGCTTCCTTCTTATTTAACTTTATTTACTGCTCTATTAGGGTATTTAAAATTAATAGACATTCCTTTAAAAAAAGTTGGTTAAGCTGAAGCGGTATTAAATCATAAGGTGGTACTAAACCTAAAAAGCACCTTTTCTGCGAAACTCCAATAACAAAGCCATAGATTACAAGATACGCATCGTAGCGCCACGAAGTGCTTGCATGCTCGTCAACACAATGAAGAGTTCCTGGAAAAGCGCTTTCAGCTAACAAAGAATGCGATTTCAACGTGAGGGGAGTGATTGAAAGGGGCTAAAACAATAAGGTAGATGGTGGTGATGGCGATGCTGATTGAATGAATGTCAATAACTTACTTTGCCTCATTGATGCTTTCGAGATTATCCTTGTTCTCGATGATGCCGGACAGCAGGCTGGTCACCTCGGTGCGATTTAAGCTGTTCAATAGCGTCGTATTCACAATGCTATTCAATTCGAACCGTCGCACAGCTAGCACTGTGCAATTGACTAATAATTCGGTATCCACAATTTCCGACATTTTGCATGAATGCAGCTCTGTCCGAGCCGAGATTTTCAAGCAATCAAAGGGAGAAGGGGGTTGCAGGCTTCGGTTACCAAGGCTCGGGCAATTGATTTCGTAATAAACACTCGCGCTGCACAATATACTCGTATGTATATATAATGGGAATGTTGCGGTTGTGGCTGGCTTGAAGCTTATTTCACATTAATTCCATAATGCCATAGAAACCTTTGTAAGTGACGCGACGCTTTAAGCTGCATGGACACGACTGTAAAGATAGATATGGCAATTCTTCCGTTTAATTACCGATTCTGTCCTTTGCATATTTTCTCTACAATTACAGTGAACTCTTTGATAAATATTTAAGCGTTTGTAGCGATACACACAAAACACCCACACATACATACAAATATACACAGATGCCACTGCAGGGCCACAATTCAGTGGTGTGGGCCGTTTAGCTGCTGTGGCCCATCATGTGTCGCCATTGCAACGTTATTTAGCTTAACTTATTTCTTGCATGTGCCGAAATGTTGAGCCCAAAGCAATTAATCTGCTTTTAAAATGGCATTTAAGACACATCTTTAATTTAGTGCCATGTTATATTTTAGTAATACCACAATAATATTAGAAGGGTTTTCGTATTCGATTTTTTTTATCATTCACTTTAAAGCCTATTTAATTTATCTCTTGGCTGGATGGCTGTTAAAATATAATTCGAATTAATGCGAAAGCACTACTTTAGAGCAATCTCATTTTCGTTTTTGAAATGTATTATTATTTATAAATTATTTTAACCGAATTTGAATTAGTCTCACTTTTATTTTTTTCTGCAACAAGAATAATGTTCGTTTTATTCATTATTTGAAGCCAAATGCAAGGGACTAATTGTTTAATATTATTGTGTAAAAATGTTTACTTCACACCATTTAACTTGCTTCATTTTAAAATAAATCTTCACACCAATTGTTGTGAATTGACACAAGGTTTAATTTTTTAACTAATTTTGATGTCATTTTTAAATTGTGTATTTATTACGATTCAATCAACTTGTTTAATATAATGTAAATTGTTTTTTGAAATTAATTTACAAATTTTTGTTTTAAATTTTGTTCTGCATTAAATCCATGCATTTATTTTGGTTGTGTTGCGCATTTTAGCCATTTTTAAAATTCATTAATGCCACTGAATTACAACTTCCTCTGCATAGCACACACATGCATGGGCATGCAATTATAGCCGCTCACACACATGCACACGAACACGCGCATACACTCACTTTTGCATTTGCAGTGCACAAATTGGAATTTGAAATTCCGCGCGTTGTTTTATGCTGCGAGTTCCGCTGTCGACTGAGCGCCTTCCGACTGACAACATTGTCTGCAGGTCGGCATGTTGCTGTTGCTTATTTAAAGCAACGACAGGATAGCCACGAGCAAGTCAACACCAACACACACACACACACTTTCGCACAATCCGACGCACATATCGTTCAACATTTACACAACCTGTTGAGAGAAAACAAAGCAACTACAAAGTGCTTGACTGCGAGTTTTGTTTTGAGTTTGTTGCGCAAAGCTCTCTTTTATGGCAACATGTTGCTGCAACATCTTCGCTCTCCTGATGCTGCTGCTGTGGTGTGCGCCTAATTTGCCATCTATCGGGATTCTGAGCGTCCAAAAATCATGTTACTTATTGCTTTCGGTTTTTTTGGTTTGTAGCGACGTCAGAGGCACATAAATTTCAACTTGCGTGTTGATATGATGTATGACCTGCAAATGATTGCAGAGGGCAAGCAGCTCACACACACACACACACTCAAACACCCACACCAACACCCGCCAATACGGACACTCCAACTACGCCTACCATGGCGACCTACAACAACCACAACCATAACAACAACAACAAGTGGAAATCAAATTCACGTACATAGACGAAGGTGTAAATGTGCTGGACGTGTGAGCACCCACATGCACACACACACACAATGATTTGTGAGACTACAGCTTTGTAAGTACAATTGTGTGTATTTGTTTGCTAATGTCTGCCCAATGTTTATTATTATGTATACATATACATATTTGCACATTTTAGATTATACATACATAACTACATAGTCTCTCATTCGTCGATGTATTTATAAACTACATTCCTCCACATACTTATATGTATACAAATGTGTGCTTGCATATTTATAACCCAATGTCGAACTAGCCATCTTTGGTATATCTATGTACATATACTATATATATACAAGTATGTGGGTTAGCGTTCGCGTTTTGTGGGCGTTTTTTATGATGTTGTTGCGTTTAGTTTATGGCATACATTTGCCTTCTTAATACGCACTCACACACACACACAGTCCCCTTCCACAACCATATGCTTACACATATCGGGGAGGCCTATTCTGTTTTATATTCAAGGCGATTTATGTTTATTATGATATAAGTTGAAGCGCGGAGCCTTTTTTGTTTTATAACGGCTGGACGGGGGACTTACTTGATGGTGCTCATGCATTAAGTTACAACACACTTACACACACACACACACCCATGCACATAAATTATTATGCTTGAGTGTGTGTTAGTGCAACGTTTGTGCATTAAACGCACATTTCCTCGCCGCATTACAGCTCTATTTTGGCGAAAGTTTTGGGAGCAACATAAACTTGTTGCCTGCTTTTTGGGGCTACCACAGAGCCTCGACCGAGGAACACATCTGCTGTTGGTAAATTGAGAGCTAAAAGGCAAATAGTCTGTATGCAAAATTTTCTTTATGGCAATAACTAAATTCTTACTACATCATAAGTTTCATTTATTTTAGCTCATGTAAAGTATTTCAGTAAAAATTTAAGTATTTAAGTTATCATAACATAACATTGAATGTAAATAAATATTTAAGGAGTTAGCTAGCTGACGACCAAACTCATAATGCAGAGGTCTCTAACATACTATATAGTAGGGACTTTGTTAAAAAATATTGCATAACAGTTTGTAACTAATTTGCTTATCTGCAGTTTAAACGATTTAAACAGTAGAAAAATATAGATCTTGGCGTTTTAAGATATTATAGCCAACAAAATCGCACAATTAATATTTGCAAAACAATATAGAGACTATGTCATTTAGCCAGCAATTTTTATATAAAATTATTAGCATCGAAACAACTATGGGGCTTAACATTTAAAAAACAATACTAGCATTGATCAAATGTCTACTTAACCCACTGAATTTATTCTCGGGCTTACGCAAAGACAAACAGAGCAATTAATACTTTTCTTAAACACAAATTTAGCCATTTTAGCTTAGATTTGTGCGTAAACTTTTCATTAATAGTGTTCCTTGTAAAACTTTAGAATGCTTTAAACAGCCACTCCCTTTTCTCTTAATAAATTAGGAGTACAAACATCATTAGCCCTGCTTAGGGACTACAGCTGTCAATAGTCCCGCAATCAAGCTCTAACGATCCAAATGAATTGATTAAATCAACTAATCAGATGAAACCTCAAGACAACTGGTGTGCAGCCCAAAACTAGCAAGCCGCTTTAATATCCTGCAACATTCTGCGTGGCAGCCAACAAAGAAAAACAACAGTTAAGTTAGGAGCTTTGTCTACCCACAGGGCCCGCAGTTGCCGCAACTGTGGCAAGTCAACATGTGTCAATTACCGCTTGACTTTGCTTTGACAGCAAGAGAAATGGGTTAGAAGTGACACGGCAGCTACTTCAATATGTTGTTGGCTGCTGAGGCGGGCAGCCAGCCCGAAGGCCTGGGGATAGCGTGGGATCCATTACGTGAGCGGTAGGGCATGAACTCATCTCCAGTAAAAAGCTTCCTAAAATTTTCGTTAGATTTGTGACCAAATAAATTCGTAAAATGCTCATATTTGTTGATTGAAAACAAATTAAAAAATAATCATTATCTTAAATTTAGTTTTATAAAAGGTATACTAACAAATCGTATGATTAAAAACCCAATGTTTTACAATTTACAACTTTTCTCAGTTGTTGCTTTGAAATAAGTAGGAATTGGACAAAGTACAAATAAATAATAATTATCATTATTATTATTACTTTCATATTTTATTTAGGGTGCAATCTATATTCATTACAAAAACAAAGCATAATTTATTATTGGTTTTAAAATAACTTTAATAAAAAAATTAATTTCTAAAAGAGTTATACAAAATTCAAATTAAAGGCTGAACCTTATATTTTTTTAAGATTGTAGTATATTTGTGTATACAATACAATCTATGTTCTTTGATAATATTTGTTTACTTTCCCAAGGTTTCCAAGATCGTGTAATTATTTAAATTTATAAATTTTGAATTTGATTTTCATTAGCAAAACCATATTTCCGCAGTCGTGATTGCATACTTTCTCACGCACCCTACTCTACTGCCTATTTATTTTATGAACAAAACGTATAAAAATAGGCATACGCTTTGTGGGCCTCATGTCCAGAAATGATTGCATCGAGTTGAAGTTGAGTTGTGGCGACAAGATAGGCCGAGCTTTGGAATGAGGAGGGCCCTCCTATTGAGTTGTCTTAATAAATAGGAGCAGTATCCACAGTAAGCGCCTCATATTGCTTCTCGTGCTATCTTGATTTATGACCAACGGCCATAATGTGTATTGCCTGCAAGGCATTTGGTCCTTCCCCTCTCGCCTTTGACTTGACAGCACCGCCGACACAGCCGTCCGACTATGAAAAATCACTTTCAAAGTCAATGAAGCAGAACGCGGATTTATTTTCAGATGCACAAATTAATTGATAACCACAAAAACTAATTATCATGACAAATTCGTAGTAGGGGAAAGCTTACGTTCTATATAGAGGTGAGAGTTGAGTTGGGATTTATGTCAGCAGCACATGAAAAGCATGGAAATAAAGAAAATTAATCAGAAAGCCAGTTTGCTTTGTGTATTAAAACCCAATTAGCTTTAATTAACCTCACCTCAGGTAATAACTGATCTGAAAAATGATTTTACTTACAATATGGTCTGTTGAACTGCATTCAGCCAAATGTGAAAATAGGAGGTGCGTGACCTTTACTCAATCTTGGAATATGTGAACAAGTTGTTCAATTCCAATCTTTTAATCAGTTCCGAGCAGATACTTAAAGAGTTATTTATTGTAATAAACACTAAAGTTTATTTGGCTTAATAAATTAAAATCAGGAATATTATTTATATTTAATAATTTGTAAATAAATAAATAACATATTTATTTAAAAATCTTAAGTTGTGTAAACAAATGTCTGATAAAATTATTTAAAAAGGATTTTGTTGATAAAACACGCTTTGAATTAAATATATTGTAAACAAATGTTAAATGTCAGAAGGCAGTAAAAATACTTATTTTCATTAAGAAATTTTAACGTATTGGTTCAAATAAACCGATATTGTTGAAAAAATGTGGCAGCATTGAAATTGAACAGCCTAACAGCTGTCTTGTCGCGTCTTCCAACACTGCGTAGAGCTACCACTTGTGAAGTTTCGTTCGTAAACAGGCATATCGGAATACTCTGCACAAAAAATTTTTAGTAATTGCATAGATTTTATAAATTATTAATGAAATTAAAATACAGTTTTTAAAAAATAGTTGAGGAGACTAAATACATATTAAATGATTGCTAAAACCTTAAAATTATAAACTAAACGTCATGAAATTTTACAGCCAATTACAAAGAGCATTAGATCTTCGCCGCGTATAGGGGAATTTTCTGCAACTATTTTTACATCAATCGCAGCTGTTTTGGCTTTGACACTAGTTTTTCATTTCCCTTCGTATCGAGAACACGAATAAGCTTAAAAAGCGCATTATTAACGCAAAGAGAAAATACGTAAACAATAGCCAAAAATAGCAATATAAAAAAAAAACAGCGAATTATATATATATACAGATATATGTATGTTTGTATATAGCAGGTGAGAAATAGTCTGCCTTACTTCCTCAAGGACACTAACAAGTTGTGTAAAATTGTGTGTGCTTGTGTGCGTGTGTGCGAGGCCTTTTATATAAATATCAAAATAGAACAAAAATAATTGATAAATTCGCTTCAAATGGCATTCAATCGAACAATTATTTACCTGCAATTGTGTATACATACAAGTTACAAAAAAAATATATGTATATATTTATAAAGACCTACGTATGTGTGTATGTACATATGTATATATGTATGTATGTTGCTGCTTTCTCTTGTGTGCTTTCTCCGTTTTGTTTTGACATTCGTCCAAAGAATCATCGTCACTGGCAGAGTGGCAGTGCACTCGGAAATTCTCATTAGAACAGGCAGCGTCGACGGAAGTTGTTAGAATTGCATAAATACCGTTCTGTGCTGTGGGTGTGGGTGTGTACACCCAGTATTGTGAGGCGGGAAACAAAAGGCAAACCTTTGCCATTTTGCCCTTTCACAGCAGACAATTGTGTGATTAAATAACCGCCAGTGCCAAGTGCACATCACAACAAAAACAGCAGCAAATATAATTGTACGCATGGTTGACGTTGCCACGCCCCGCCAGCGTTGATTTGTCTTGTCAGAGGCTTTTAAAATGTTTTCACTTTTCCGATACGCACTGCGGCACTCACGAAATTTCGCACTATATGAAGGTACCCGTGCCAGTGGCAATGGCATTATTGGCCGGTCTAATTTAAAGCAATTAAAAACAAATGGAACTGCACTCTCAACTGTGCGGCATTTTGGGGGTAAGCTCTGCATTACTCTTGACTTAGTTGGTTGAATCGAATCTTCAGGACATTGTCTGAGGTGCCTCAAAGTCAGGGCCTTTGGCTATCGATCGATTTTTCAAACCTGTCAATTAACGCATATTCATAAATAACTTCGGTCGTGTGCTGAAGAATGATATAAAAATGAATGTTTAAACTAGGAAGGCACTTAAAAGACTACTTATTACGTTTTATGCATACGTAATATGCATACAAATGTGTGTTGAATGCGTAATTATTCAAAGAAATGACTCTGAGATCAGTTGGTAAAAAGTCACATTGTAATTCAAGTCAGTTCAGGGGTTGAAGACACAATACACACAGTAGAGAAAATATAATACTATGATGAGAAAATACCTTCCCTTGGGCAAGATGCGTCATCAAGCCTCCATACGCAATTTCATAAGCAACCCGTGCCAGTCAAATATTTGCCAAGTAGCAATAGGATTCTTACTTTTAATAGTAAGCAGTACGTATCAGCGATCAACGTTCCATTTATATTTGAATACAGGCTTTTATTATATTTAAATACTGGAAAATATTGTCCCCTAGCACAACTAATCTAATCTATTAGTTATAGTGCCCCCTAAAGAACTTTTGCTTGGCTTGATACGAACATATAAGAGTTTAGTGCAGTCTGCTGATAGTTAATCTTAATCTTGGTTTTATTTGTGGCAATTTGCTCTAATTTGTTGTGCCAGTCATTGAATAAACTAACCTACATAATACGCATTTTAATTAAGCGAAAAAAGATAGTTGGTGCGAAGAATGAGGAGAAATATATTTCATAATGAATGGTTGTATTGGATAACAAACAGACCGCAAACCCCAAGTATCTAATATCTACTAATATTTCGCACCTGCTTTTAAACTTTTTGTGTTCAGATTCATTTAAACCGACGACAAACTCAAAGCAAGCCAACATGGAGAATAAAACTGAAAAAGTTACTGTAAACAAAGAGGAGCTGCGCAAGCGTCTAACCCCCCTACAATATCAGGTTACACAAGAGGCTGGCACTGAACGCCCCTACACAGGTATGGCTTTAAATAAACATAAACCGTATTTCAAACTAATGAAATAATGTCTTAGGTTGTTACAACAAGCATTATGAGAAGGGGATTTATCAGTGCATCGTTTGCCATCAGGATTTATTCAGCTCGGATACCAAATATGATTCCGGTTGTGGTTGGCCCGCCTTCAACGATGTGCTCGATAAGGGGAAAGTAACTCTGCATCAAGATTGCAGCATACCAGGTATGTGTTTAATTACCAATAATAAAGTTTCGTTTAAATTTTAGATGTTTGCAAAAATTTTGAATTCGAGTTTTCGGTTTGTACAGTTTCTTTTAGTTTTGCGTTGCATACAAATTTACCTGCGTTGCTATAAATACTCGTATTGTATCGTCCAATGTATTGTAACTATGCATTTTGAGTTGAGGAACAGGCTCTGTATGTATATAGTACCTATATACTTTACATACATTTAGGTAACACTTTTCTAGATTATAAACCAGAAAAGGTAGCTAATATGGAACCCTAGGTGTGATCTCTAAAGATGAAACTAACTTCAATCAAATATTTTGTGCAATTAATGCACTGAGAAGCATTTGCTTCTGTTAACTAATTAAATATTAGGCTACCCCAATCCCAACCACTAAGCCATTTTATATATTTATGTTTAAATCGAGATCTTACGTTCCCAAAAGCCCTCCTTCAACTTAAGTACATATGTATGTGTGTATTGCTTTGTGTTCTTTATGTTTGGCTTGTTTCCAATTTGAATAACTGTATTATTGTTTTAAAATGTAAATTATGTGTTAATTGTTTCCAAAGAATTGTGTTCGTTAATGATTGCAATGTTGCCCATAGTTTGTGACGTCATTAGTCTGCATAACAGAAGCCTGCACGAATGTAATCGAAAATTTCAACGAAACTAAACAAATACCAATATTTATTTATTTATATAAGTATGTGTCAATAGACCTGACCGAGTAATTAAGTAGAAATACAGAAACAGACATGTGTATTTCATAGTAACGAATGAAAATTAGCTCTGTATTCAATGTACTTAACAGATGTACATATATCACTAAAATAAGATCCGACAAGTACATTAAAAAAGGCAAAATAATAGTAAATCATTCATATTCACTATCTTCTTGTTGTTTGTAATGAAACTTTTCAGATATTTTGCTTTAGAATGCGCTTTTCAACTGTCATCAATGTTTATCGTAGAAATTGCTTTGACTCCAATAATTCCATTCTGGCTAATTATTTAAATTGAATGACAAAAACCAGCTTATATGAAAATTCTGCTTGATTTTAATGTTTTCAATTATTTGGAATAAAGCTACTACTAATTTCTTTAAAATCAATTTTCTTCTTTGACCAATACTTGAAATGCATAATTTAAATAGCATTCGAATATTTGTGTAACTATGTAGATTCCATAAAATACATCAAAAACACACAAGGAATGATTCATATGATTCAATATATTTTAAAGTATACTATTAAAGTCTACTTTCGATATCAAGACATGTTTTATACAAATATATATATATATATATATTCTTACTAAACGAACCCCTTTTTTGAAATCAGCTAAGTAGAAACTTTAAAAATGTCTATAAATATATTAGTGTTTAGTTGTTTACCTCATTAGATCTTACTTTATGCTTTTTGTATAATCCAATCATTAAATGTGCAGAACAAGATAAGTATATCTTCGAACTTGTCTGAATTGGACTTCTTTATTATTTTGATTACATTCGTGCAGGGCTCTAATGCGTAATTTGTTTCGTTTTGTTTGTGAATGTATAATTAATCAATTATCGAACATCAAAACTTCAAATTTATACCTAATTGAGTCTTATTCTTTTATCCACGTCTTTTTCCTAACTAACAAAATATTTCTTATAAAAAATCGATGAATCAATCAATCAATTTCAAAATTTTGAAACAAACAAAAAATTACAAACGAATTGCCAATTCTTTTCCTCTCTCTACTGCAACACATTAAAAATAAAAACTATGAACATATAATTAAACAGTAGTCATTTCAAAAACGTTAGGCATGGTACGCACCGAGGTGCGCTGCTCCAAATGCTCAGCACACATGGGCCACGTATTCGATGATGGACCACCACCAAAGCATCGACGTTATTGCATCAATTCAGCGTCGATTGATTTTGTCTCTATAAAGAATACAACAGCAACGACGTCATCGTCCAAGAAATAATATTGATAGTGATACGATGTGCCGGAAAGGAGGCGCATCCGATGTGTTTTGTGTTAAGGTTGATCTTATAGATATTTGTTAAAAACATTTTTAGATATGTAAAATTATTTTATATTATTAGTTCGAGTCACATTCAGAACGGTAGGCCAAAATTAGCAATTAAATTGATTTTAATTTTTTACAACATAATATAGTTATTGGCATCTATTTATTATAAGGCGTCACATATACAGATACAAGTTTGCTCGATCAGGTACGGCCTTAAAAAATCTATTCATATATTTCAACCAATTCTTCTTCTTTTTTTTTTGTCAATGCCAATTTTTATTTTTTTCATTTTTGACATCATTTGGTTCTTAACCTTTGGTTTCACTCGAGATTCTTATTATAGAGTACACTCATTGTCATTGAAACGATGGTCTTGGCGCTCATTAAGAGGTTGCAGTTGTTAATTTATGGTGCAGTCAATGCGTTAAGGAATTACTTACTAAATAACGTAATTCCTAATTGCGTAAAGCTTCAAGCTAAAAAAATGCTTCTTTTCTCATTATTTTCTCATTTCTTTTTGTATATTTATTTTAGTTATTTTTTATGTATGTTTTCTTTTAACAAATTATTCGAATTTTTTAGTTATAATAACATTTACCAACTACTACAGTATTCGAATCCATAAACTTATATTGTCGAGCAATCTGAATAATGTGTATTTTTCATATATTTTTTCTATTTCTCTTTTTTTAAATCGCATATAAACTAAATGTACGCCTGTAAACGTTCTTTGGGGGTTTGTTTTTCTAACCAAAACGAAAACACAAAACATTTTTAATCCTGCATAACACACAATCACACAATCATAAATAAATTGCTCATTAAACCAACAAATTATAATTATAAAATAATTAATGTTTAATTGCTAATCTTACACTTAACATAAACATGCATTATCATATATTTAATTGTGAATCTAAAAATATTATTTCTTGAACAACATTTCGTCTTACGCTTTCTTTCACTCAATTCGTCAATTCGTTTCGCATCTATTTTTCGCCTTTACATTTTTTGTTCGCCTCGTTTTCTTGCTTTCGTGTCCCACAATGGCTATGCCCTTTCTCACACTCTCTTTCTCTTTCGTCGTTTTACTGTCCATTTTACTGCATTCTCTCTTAATTTCTTTCATCTCTGCTGTTTATTTAACCGAATCTTCATCTATAAAATTTTGTGAAATACGCAAATCTATTATTGTAAAAAAAACAACACAAACTGTTATTCAAACAAAAATCAAAAACAAAAAACCGAATCCAATTAATATCACATTATGCAAAATACAAATTAAAAAGGGGGTAATATTTTACTACTAATTAAACATCCAGAACGTATACGCACCGAGGTTCGCTGTTCAAAATGCTCAGCCCACATGGGTCATGTCTTCGAGGATGGTCCCAAACCGACCCGTAAACGTTATTGCATCAACTCGGCGTCCATTGAGTTTGTCAGCGCGGATCAAACAGGAACAACAACAACAACGAAGACGACGGCCACGCCCCTCAGCCCCCAGGGCACCCCAATTGCACAGCAATAGTGAGAGAAAGAGTGGCTGGATACGAACAAAAATTTAAACAATCAACGAAAGAATGTTAATTTCCTGCTAAAGAGTCTAAACTAATTGTTGCTGTTAAGGTGTTTTGTACGTACAATTAATAATTCTAATGTTTTTCTGCAAAATGTGGCCAATCTAACATATAGAGATGATGGGGTGCCGTTAATGTATAACGGCAGTTTCCAACAAATTTTGTACATGTGTGTATGTTGTAGAACTTGTGTATGTATTTTTAAAGCCCCCTCCCCCCAATCAGAATTCACTCTGTAAGTGTAACTTTTAACTTTTACTATAAATACCTATCTGAGAAATGTATGCGCTAAAATACGAAATAAACATGTACATACAAGATAACAACAACAAAATATCAATTTGCATTTAATGTTCGTACGTTTGCTCGGTCTGGTGACAATCGAATCGACAGGCAGGTGCCAGTTGCGTCCGCGCCGCGTTGCCAACTAGTTCCAATTGCGCACCAATACTGTCTTCCAACTGATGTGATGTAAGCAGAAAATTTAAAATAATTGAAATTGAATTTAGCAAAACGCATAAATTGATATCAATTGAGCGCTTTCCTATTGGATTGCAGAGTCGGTGTAGGGGTAGTTTATTTAACATAGCATTTAAATTTTAACAGCACTGTGTACCGATAACGATAGCTAAATAACATACCCAGCTGATTTAACAACACGTTGCTGTTGCCCCATGACGTAAAGCTCTGCCAGATAAACCAAACGAAACGCGAGCTGCGTAGGGCATACCAAAGTTAATGTGAGTCGACGAGCGCGATTCGCATATACATATATACATATGTATGTTTGCTACATACAAACTCAGATACGAGTATGCCGCCGACATTCAAAAAAGCTTTACGTATGCATCTTTGCCGGCATTCTGGACGCCACACAACAACACAACTTTTGGACAGTGCGCTTATAAATTTTCAATTATCTAACAGTTGCAGCCTCGAAATATAAAATACAATCAGTGTAAATAAGCTATTAAAGTGTGATAATAGCACCTAGTGTGGTGTGAATAAAAATAAAAAACATAAGTCTAGTCTACAACGATTAGATAGACGACAGATTCGCATTGTTAACTAATTGCAAGGCGTGCAAGTCTTCGAAGCTGTTAACAGGTTTTAATAATTTGGATTTAATCGAATATTAAATTAGTTGACTATTGACGGCAAATACAATAAGATCATGAAGGAGTGGCTGAAGATATCCTGCTTGCTTTGCGTATTCGGTTTTGTACGCGAAATACGACCTTCGGAGCCGTACGTTACAGAATATCTACTGGGACCTTGGCGCAATATCACTGAGGATCAGGTGAGATAATTCGATTTCGTAGAATTGGGTTAATCAGTTAGGCTATCAGCAGAATAATAATTTTAAAATAACGACGAGATTGCAAAAGCGACCTCTTCGTCTGAATTTTTTGTCATATTTGGTCTGAGTAAAAATTAAACCATTTTACAAATAAGTTCTAGGCAAAATACAGCCAAGCATTCGTAAATATATTTTTTTTAGATTTTAATGAATATGTATTAATAGATGAAGGGATTTAATAGTCAATGGTCAATGCTTATTTTTCTTTACGTATGGAAGGCAACAACTCTTATTAAAGGTCTCCTACATATTTAAAACCTGCAGTCAAAGGGCAAAAAGTATAATAATCTCATTTTAAAAAGAAGGCTTTGCACGCCCCACAATATATATACATATATTCTTCATCACCCTTGCAAGACGAGTTATTCTAGAAAGGCGTGCTTAACTTTTAACCAATTAATTAATTTTTAACTTTACCGCTTTAAAATATAAATAGAAGAAAGCCTTCTAGTGCTCAATTGTTATTCCACTTCCCTACCTTCTTCGCTTAAATACGTGCCTTAATATCTCAATCAACTTGTTCTTACAGCTTACTCAAGATGTCTATCCCGTAGGCACATATTCCCATCTCGTGCAATTAGTTTTTGTCTTTCTTATAACGGATTTTTTACGGTAAGCCTCACAAACAAGTTCCCGGAAAACCTTTTTATACTATATATTGTCCCTTCTGTAGTTACAAACCACTTATTGTTACAATTGGAGCCGCTGGAGTAATAATTTGGAGCATGCTTTTATGGACAACTAGCTTATTGGCCCTACAAATACTGGAATTTTTCTACGGCACCTATATGGCGGCCGAGGTGGCTTACTATACGTATATCTACGCCAAGGTTGAAAAGAAATATTATCCGCGAGTCACTTCCCATACACGAGCGGCTATGTTTGCTGGCAAATTAGTCTCTGGTATCACATCACAAATTCTGATCAATTTAGAGCTGATGAATTATAAGGATCTAAACTACATAACGTTGACTAGTAAGTTGTAAATATTATTTAGAATAATGTTTAAAGGAAATATATATTTCTTAAAATTTGCAGCTCAAATCATTGCCATGGTTTGGGCCTTTGGGTTGCCCAAAGTCGATAAAAGTTTATACTTTCATCGCAAGCCCAAAACCGACGAAGAGGATACACAATCTGCGGTCGTCAACTCACAGTTCCAGTCTGGAGAATTACAATCAAATCAGCCCCTAGCCAATGCAGGTCCAATGCAACTGTTGTGGCTGCATTTTTACAATGCCTACACAAATCCCCGGGTATTACAGTGGAGCTTGTGGTATGCCATTGGTCTGGCTGGATATCTTCAAGTTTCTTACTATATGCAGGTGCTATGGAAGGTCATCGAGCCGGAGCCATCGGTAACTAATATTATTTCATTGTTTTCATTTGGTATTATCAAAAAATATTCCAGACAATTACTATTTTTAATACTTTCCATTCTTGACATAATTTATTTCAAAAAATAAGTATAATTAATTGATTATATGCACAAATTGTTCTTACAGATCGCCTGGAATGGTGCTGTTGATGCGGTTCTTACCGCCTTAGCTGCCTCTTGTGCCCTGATCGCAGGATATGTCCGCCTCAAGCCCCTCGCCAGTCTGTTTGTCTTGGCCGTACTGTCAATTCTGGAAGGTGGCAGTGTTCTGCTCTGCTGCTGGACCCACAATATTTATTGGTCATATGTGGGCTTTGTGCTATTTGGTGCGCTCTATGGTTTTACGATTACAGTGGCCAGGTAATAGTTTCATATAAAAATTATATATTGTTTTGTGTATCGACATTTAAGATCATTCAATCATTCAATTTACTTACAGCGCCGAAGTGGCACGCAATTTGCAGGAGGATAGCTTTGGCCTAGTCTTCGGATTCAATACACTTATAGCTTTAGTTTTTCAATCACTACTAACGATTATCGTTATTTCCGAATCGGGGTTCGCTCTCGACGCTGTGGGCCAATACACTGTCTATGCCTTTTATTTTATTGCTGTGGGCATGATTTATTTCATATCCGTTGTTCTCGAGTATTTTTGGAAACGTGGTCGAAATGACAAAAAAATGTCCGCCATACTGGATTAGTGTTAAAGGAGCAATTTGTATTTGAATGTAAAAAGTAGTTTTAGTTTGAGCGTTCCTATTAGCATTTAGCGTATTTATGATACGAGCTACAAACCTTTAAGTGATAAAATCAGCACAACATTTTGGCAGCAATACTTAAGCTATGGTCATACTGGCAAATGATTTGCACAAAAACTGTATTAAGCTAATAAAAATTCCTTATTTATATGTATATAGCTTTCTAATACGGCCCATTTTTTTGAGAATTAGAAAATGAGAAAAATATATCAATTTGTGTGCACATTATTTGCATGTCTGATTGTAACTATAGTGAGTTAGTTAGATCAACTATGGCGTAGTTACTTATGAGAACATTGCAACATTACTTACTGATTTAGAATTAGAGAAAGTCTATAAATAATTACCAACAAAAGCTCACAGAATGCTTGTCGGAAAAAATATTTAAAAAATGTAATATGCACGTATATAACAAACCTTTTCAAGCACAGTCTCTCATTTAATTTTAGATTAAATCGGCCGATTGAAAATATTACTCAAAAATAAATATGTTAATTAAATTTTCCATCGCATGTTAATTTTCTATGTATCTTAATTTTATTAAATTTTTTGTTAAATAAATTCAACTATTTTTCAACATCTACACCATATCTTTCTAGAATAATATAAATGTAATTTAAAAATTAAGAATCTATGGGTACCTAATGCAAGCCTAAAAGGCTATAAAATTCGGAATCTGTAATTATTTGAAATCTGATTATATTCACATCCTTATTACAAAAAAGAATTCACCACAAAGTCTAGTGTCATTACTGTGTATTTGTTTATTTAAATATTTATGTTATAATATTCTTACATAGGTGTTTAATGAAGATTGCGGTACATACATATGCATAAACGTCTGTGTGCCAATATAAGATATAATTTTTATAATTTTTTGTTTTGTTTTTGGTTATATATTTATGCGATATACAAAACAGACAATAATGCACACGTGGAATGGATTAAAGGGAGAAATAAAGAAACTACATACAAAAGAATTAATTAAATATATATTTAATGATACAATTGAGACAATAGGCAGATTCATAATATATGATTTCGGAGGTAATTGAACAGAAAGACATATTCAATAATAATAAATAATTATGAAACGAAGCATACATTGGCTGACGATCTTCTCACCTTATATATTTTGTAGATGATTCGATAAAAAAAATTATTAATATCCCAAACAAAATTAAAGCGAAGTGCGGGGAAAATCAAACACTTACGAGCTTACAACTAGTCATAAAAATTCAAATAAAAACAAAAACAATAAGTCTTTCAATCTCGCCAAAAGAGCGCACATTTCAGTTATTAAAACATAAAATATTATGTGTCTGATGTCTAAAGAATACGCACATTATGAAATAAATAGAGGAAGGTATACATAATAATGTATGTATGCTTCTCTCTCTCTGATCATTGAAAATTTATCTTATATCTATCCAATATGTTAAACTAACTTAGCCATTTGGTTATGTGCATGAGGAGGATTTGTGCGTTGCCATTTTATGTCACGACACCGAGGTGGCCGCAAGGAACTCCTGTAAGCGTTGCACAGTGCCCCGATCCAATTTGCATAAATCGAAATCGAACGTTTTGTGCGTGATTTCGTAGCAACCGGTGGCGGCAATTAAATCAACAATTTGTTGCAGTTCCTCGTTATCCTGCAAGGTCATTATTTTGTGATGTAACTCCTGTAACTCACTGAGATATTCTGTCGGCAATGTGGTGGATGGTGTGGGCGTGGGTGTGGCAAACTGTTGATTCAATGTCTCAGTGGGTGAATGGGCACTACTGCTGTTGTTGTTATTGTTGTTGCTGGTGCTATTATTGTTGTTGGCATTGTTGCTGTTGTTATTATTGTTATTGTTGCTGGTATTGACAGTATTTGCAACACTGGCGGCGCTATTAGGCGAAGAGTTGCTGTTATTGTTGCTGTTAATGTTACTGTTAATATTAACAGTAACATTTGGTGGTGTTGACAGCGCTCCGGCATTTGTGGTGCCTGACGCGTTCCTCAGAGAAGGCGATTTTGATTTTTCCCTGGACGCTTTGTTTTGCTCCTTCTTCGTGGGCTTAACTGGAGGCTCGATAAACGCAGCGCTGTTATTATTATGGGAATTTCGTCGATTGCGCTTATCCGCTGGCTTTGTTGTGTCGACACCCTTTGCTGTATCCGCCAACTTATCTGCTTTATCTGTTTTCTCAGCTCCCTTTTCTAGCTTATCAATTTGCTTTGACTTTTCTGTGCTACGGGCCTTGTGCTCCTTGCCACCCATTTTACTGTCACGAGTGCTGGGCGAGGCAGTTGCGGCTGCGGCTGCGGCAGCAGCAATCGGTTTGGCCGACGTCTGCTTCTGACTCGCCTTAGCGGGCAGGTCCGGAAAACTGCTACTCGAGCTATCAGAGTGTTGTAATGTCGCGGCTGCGGCGGCCAAAGCGTTGGTCGCGGCCAAATCTGGTGCCGATTGAGCTGAATCCATGTCGCTGAGATCGAGATTATTGGGAGGTTTGTTCTGCGGCTGCGGTTGTGGCTGCTGTTGTTGCTTTTTGGCGTTATGTTTGATGTCTGTTTTGTCACCTGTAGCCTCGCGTTGACGTTTATCCTCTTTGGTTGAGGACTTATCCTTGGATTTTTTGTGTTTTTCTTTTTTGCCGCCTGTTGAGATGTGGCCGGTCGCCTTTTCTGCTAATGCTTCCGCCGGATTTGTTGTGAGACTGGGTGCCTCCTGCTTGGGTGATGGCTCGGCTGGTTTTTCCGTAATTGCCGGCTGCTGCAGTTTATCCTTGTCGCGCTCCTTTTGCTTATCCCGGTCGCGCTCCTTTTCCTTATCCTTGTCACGTTCACTTCGCTCCTTTTCCTTGTCCTTATCTTTGTCTTTGCTCTTGTCCTTTTTCTTATGTTTATGCGATTTCTTATCCGTACTACTGGCACTATTGTTTGTCACTTTGTCGCTTTTCTCATTTGGTTTATCGGCTGGCTTTACCGAATGTTCGTCCTTGTCATTATTGCGCTTGCCCGTATTGGAGGTCGTGCTACTGCTGCTATTGCTGCCAACGGAGGGTGGTGTGGCTTTTCCCGTCGCCTTTAATGTTTCGTAACTGGATGCTCCACTACTTGATGCCGCCTCCGCATTAGGTTTACTGCCCGGCGCACTTTCTGGCTCTTTTGGTATTTTTTTGGACTTGTGGTCCTCTCGTTTTTCTCGTTCGCGGTCACGTTCCTTGTCTTTTTTCTCCTTTTTTGACTTTTTGTTTGAGCTGCGCTCCTTATCTTTCGTTTCCGACTTATTTGGTTTATGATCCTCGCGTTCCTTGGGACGCGCGCTTGGCAAGCCGCTCGCCTCGGTGGCCACTTTTTTCGGACTCGGAGCTCCTGTTTCAGCCGTACCGCCTTTGCCAGGCCTTGGACTAAGCGAACGTTTAGAATTGGATGGAACAGATACGCTGCTCTGGTCGCGTTCCTTATCGCGCGTTTTGTCTTTTTTAGATTTATCCTTGTCGTGTTTACTGCTACTCTCTCCTGTTTTCCCCGATTTGCGCTCCTTGTCCCGGCCATGGCGATCCTTTTTATCCTTATCTCGCGTTTTGTCCGAACTACTGGACTTATCGCGTTCTTTGCTTGTTTTCTCTTTGGCATCTTGCAGGCCACCACCCTTGCCCCCACTGGACGCAGTTTTTCCATCGGGAGAATGCTTAGATGTTGGAGGCGGCAAATTGCCAACAACGTTACCGGCGTCACCACTGCTAGCAGTGCCCCCTTTGGTAATGGGCGTACCAAAAAGCATTGAAAATGAATTGGTCTTGCCACCACCTTCATCATTGCGAGCTTTCAGCTTTTTACCCGAATCCGTGGCATTGGCGCCACTGCCGCTGTTCTTTGGCTTCGCAAGGCCTGCTGCCTCAGTTGTGGCTACGTCTGTGGTACCCACCAGACCTGCAGTGGCACCGATATTAGCTCCGAATACCGGCACTCCACCGCCCCTTAAAAGCTTTGCGCGAAATTCCTCCGAAGGCGTTTCAAAAACATGCGTCTTAACCTCAACGCGATGGAGCGGCGGTCCCGTGTGCTGCAGATCCAAATCGTATTGATATGTAATCCGCTTCGGCTCATCCCGATTCCGAAAGAATATTTCTACCGGGAGCATGAAGCCTGCATAGCCGGATTCTTTTATAGTATACGGCGGTTCCTTAATCACTGCAAGCGTGTAAGTATGGGGAAATAAGCAGTTTAGCGCGCAAAATGGTGTATGGCTTATATTTAATTACTTACCACGTTTTGGCTTTGGAAACGACTCATGCAGCACAAACACAACCTTGTCCACAAATGCGCTTATGTCCGCCTTGTTGACACCCCCACCTCGCACGTAAATCTCCCAATCATGTGTGAAGCCCTCTACAGTTTTCTTGCTCCGCAATTTCGATGTATGGCCAATTTCAAATTGCACCTTGACCGCCATGAGGAGGATGACGCTGAAGCAGTTGGTACATCAAACTCAATTCGCGGTGGTATTCTAGAATGAACGTTAAGTTGCGCGGTTTTTAAAGTTTACCGATTTATACAGGTACATATACATATGTATGTGTAAATGTATGTATGTATGTAAACAAAAACGGTGTGTTTGCAGCATGCTTGGCGGTTAACTGCCGACCAGGCTTGGAAACTTGTACGAAAACACTTCGGTATACATTTCATGAGCTCCACCATTCATAATATTGTTGGAAAAACTCCAGTCGAATTAGATTATGTTGAATTTTTTTTTGGGATCAATGCCACATTTTTCCTATTCGCCATTACATTTTTCTCGCAACATCAACATGTACCTCAGTGTAAGTGTGCATATGTGTGATGATAAACGTGAGTTCTGTTTTAAACTTACTTTGTTTTTAACAGATACGCAGCAACAAAGCAACCCGCACCGACTTCAATTAGTTTGTTATTATTTATTACTGACAATATAACTGCAAGTGCAAGATGCGCCCAATTACTTTTTTATTGAAAATCAGCAAAAGGTCGCTTAGAGATACGCTGATTTCATCTTCTTAGTGTATCGATATGTATCGATAATAGCTATTTAGTCCTTTGCCCAGGGCTACAAACAAACAAAAAATACGGTTCAACAACAATTGGAACTTAAAAATATATTTTCAGAATAAATTAAATTTTATGATAACTTTATACACTTATTCTTTTAACACTTTCGATGTTTCTTCAGCCCCTCTCTTCATTTTCGCGCCGCTCCGATAGCAAGCTTATCGTCGCAAAATCGATATCGGTATCAACCTAAACTCCCCCACTGGCGAAAAGCACTTGCAATTAATGTGTGAAAAGCAAAACAGTTAAATTTGTAATATAATAATGTGTACATATTATTTGCTATCGTTCCTATAAGGGGCAAATTCATTACAATGTCCAGCGACTTGAACACGAGCCAGTTTGCGCCGATGTCAACAAATACCAACTACAGCCGTTGGCTAACGGAAGAGGTCTTTAAATTAATAGATATTGTGCAGCGCGACGAAGCTATCTACAATCCTCGACACAAGTATTACTTCTGTCGACCGTATGTAGAGAATTTCTGGAGGGAAGTCGATCAGAGGCTAGAAAAGAATCCCGGTGCCAGTCTAGCCAAATGGACGAACTTGCGCATTTCTTTTCGTCGCGAGTACACAAACTACGTTGAGGAGAAAGGTTCGCTTTGGTATTGTTTTTTTGTATGGCATAAATGCTAACAAATGCTTTCTTTTAAGTTCCACCTTGCTGGTCCTACTTCGATCGTATGTTCTTTTTGCATCCCTACTTGCGTAAAAAGCATCAGCCACCAAAGTCACTCGACACCCAGGTGCAGGACGCATTGGCGCATTTAAGCAATCTGTCGAATCGTATGCAGCGTGAACGTGCGGTGACCACTTGCACGCCCACAGCTGCAGACACTGCAGCTAGTAGCAGTCGCATTCATCCGAATGCCAGCGCTGGTCCAAGTTCCGCGCAGCAGTCACCACAGCCACAACAGCTGGACAGCTACTTAGACTACTTCGATGATCAGGAGCATAATAATTCCGAATTGGAAGACATCATAGATGAGGAGCAACGGGCTCGTTTCCCAAATCCATTAGATCACGACATTAAGTCTGAATGCGAAGATGACTATGATGATGATGAGCGGGAGGAGGATGAAATGCGCAAAACAGTATACGATAGCTTAGCCACTACGGTAGCGTCCAGCACTTGTGTTGGAACGAGCCTGCCGGTAGAGAAGCGCAACGCGCAACCACTGCAATCGCAGCCACAGCCTCATAAAATGCAGATAAATCGTGTTCAAATGCGGGCCTATCATGAGGAGGCGTTCCCGCTGCGTCCGCGCTCTCAAGAGCATCATCAATCCTCGGTGGGTACAGCTGTCAGCGCTGCAAACATGCAAATGCATTCGAATATATCGTTTGTGCGTCCAACTTTCACCAAGCCCGTGGATATGGTAAGCACAACAAATCCTTCGAATGCTGTAACATCAATATCGAGTGCGATAACGACCAGCAGCGCCTATTTGGCGCCCAGGCATGCCTCCCATCATCAGCCGCCGCAACGTTTGGAAGCTACCACCTCGACGCTAGCCACTGGAATTGTCGGTAGCAGTGGGGCAGTGGAGCAATGCGATTGCAAGAGCGATCCTGATGCCATGTTCCTTATGAGTTTACTGCCAGATATACAGAAACTAAATGGTCGAGATCGCGGCAAAATCAAAATTGCCTTCCAGAATATACTTCAAGATTATTTATATCCCGACTAAATGGCGCTACTGTAAGTCACATAAAACACACATAAGAGATCCCAAGGATCGTCAGAGTTATCAATTAAGATCTCCTAACTGCTTTGTGTATACCCATTGCTTCCAAGCATTAACCTACCCATGTGTGTAGATGTATGTAAGTACTTATTATATACATATACAAGTATATATGTATGTATGTTCGGCTCAGCCGATTTTAGTGCTTTAAACACTTCTTTTCTTCCTTCGAACTACATCAAGTAAAATACATCAGCAAACATCAGCCTGCTATTCCAGTTTTAAACAGTAATCGTTATAAATTATTTTATTACATAATAGGCACATGTATGTACATATAAATATTTATTGTTACAACAAAAATAAATTCATTTTACAAGTCAGCTGGAACTTAATTGAACAGCTGCAGCTGTCGTGCTATTTTCTTGATCTTGTTGTCTAACGTCTTGTCCTCATATTCACAAATATAATGCTGTCTCGACGTACACTCCTGTCCATAATAATGGTAACTGTGCTTCGTTGAATCGTATTTCAAGCGCAGGCAACGCCCCTGCCCCTCAATTTCCACAGTATTATTTAAAATAGCGCTGGCATCTGTTTCCTTTTTGGCAACACCATCATCTACTAGATTCGTTGAAGTTACATTCTCGCCCTTCTGAGACATGGTGGCTATCGTTGTAAGGTTAACGGGGTTAACTGGCTTAGCAGAGTTGGCCCAGATCCACAACAATCCGGGGTTTAGGCCGCCCAACCAATAGTCGCGTCCCCGATGATTCGGCTGATTCAGCAAATAGGCCATTATAGCCTCATTCTCCGCGTCGGAATTCTCAAATTCGGCGAGATGGGCATGCAGCGCCTTACATGCGGAGTTGGCCGTCTTCCAATTCACCTGCTGATGGCTATTGATGTAATAACAATTGTCGTTGACTCGCGTAAAATTCGCAGGACAGGGATCGCGCACTTCCTTCTGATTATTTCCGGCCATCAAATAGTAAATTAACTGCTCAGCCCGACGTATCCGACTTTCCAGATAATCGGCTCGATATGAGAGCTTTTCAATTGCTCCCAACAAGTATAAATCATTTTCGGATACGGCACGAAATGTGTTGGTTGGGCCACTAAGATGTTGTCCGGGTGGCTGCTGAAGGGGCACGGGACGTAAATGGGGTGATTGGTGATGTGGTGGGGGATTCACGTCATTATTGGACCCTCCAAAGCCGAAAAACTGCTGTAGGAATCCTGGCTGTTGTCGTTGCTGCTGTTGTTGCTGCAGCATCTGATTCGTCATGGGTCGGAATTGTTGATTACCCATCGATAGGGTGCTTTCGGCGGGTTTGCGCAGATTCGGCTCCAACTCAACAGCCTCGCCAATACGACGCGTTACATAAATGTTATTATTATTGCCGGGTCTCTTATACGCCGGTGAATAAAATGGCAGATCCTTTGAAGTGCGGGAACTGTGACTGCAAATAGAGAATAAAATAAAAATTAATATTATTATAATAAAAACATATATATACTATGTAAACACCATTAAATTTCTAACGGGGAAAAAATTCTCAGACAAAACTTGTTATACCCACAGAAATGAAATTCGGGTCAAGGAACTCATTCATAAAAGATCGACAAAAATAATCCTAATCCGTAAAACGCCAAAGTACTTTTTTTTCCAAGCCAATCATATCTTCACTTGATGGGTAATCTATACATATATATAAATGGAAGTGTATATGTATGTATATATGTACATATATTTCCTATAGACTCTGAAACCGTTCAACCGATTTTGATCAAATTGTATGACAATATTCAAAAAAATCCAATGGGTGAACCTGTGAAGTTTCGTGCCGATTCGTCAACGCGATCAACCATCGTTTTCTGGCTTTAATTTGTTTGGCAGTCACTTTTCACTCTGTTTGTCAGTGTTTTATTCGTAAATAAATACAATTGTAAAATCGAATACAAAAAAATCCCACCAAAATGGTGATTTCTAATGGTAAAAATTTGAAATTGGAAAAATGAAAGTGCCGATAAACGCTTATCACGTTTGCAAGATTTTCGCGAAACGTCTAGAGCCATAGAAACGGAACAAGAATGGGACCCGCGGCGAAAGGGCATCCACATCATATCTGATAAATAGGATAAAATAATTCCTCTAACATAACCAAACACTAAGCTTTAATGCTAGTATCGGTCTTTCGGAATGTACCTCCCACGGTACGGAAAAATCCCGTTATCGGGGAACTTGGGGCAAAATGAAATAATATATAATATACTCTTGCACATTTCATGTACAGAGTATAAAAAGATATATCATATTTACTATATTGGCGTTTTCAATCATTTAATTGCAATGAAATGTTTTATTTTTTTTTTTATTTGTTTTTACTTTTTTTAACTACTCAATCAATAAGCTTTTGATCTTCACTAAATTTGGTTATCTTATGAACTAGAAAGACACAAAAATTGTATTTTTTTATGTTAAAATTGAATTCAGATATAACTCTGATGAATAAGCAACGGCACGATTTGAGCATCAAGTTGAGAAATTGATGTGACTCACATACATAATTTATTTGTTTAAATTTGAAATCACTTTCTTCATTCATGCATTTTGTATACACTTAGTATATCTCCAACGTACCTTAAGGTATAGTCTTCAAGAAATTGCGACCAAATGGGTGGCCCTAATTCTTCGTCATTATCCGCCAATGCAAGTGACACATTTGCGTAATTTTGCATATTTTCACCGCCGGTGCTCGTAACATCGGGTTTGCATAAGACATGAGGGACTTTTATCAAATTTAATAGCACTATCCCAAAATAAAAACAAAAGGTTCGATATTCACTGTAATGTCGCTTTAGATTAGGCCGTAAGTCCATTGTTTTATGTGCCTTGGAGAAGGTAAACTGTAGTTTTATTGTCGCCATGATTTGAACACGGCTTATAGCATTGGTAGAAATTCGAGAAGAAACAAAAATTGAAGAGGCGCGTACGATCGAAAAATATAACCACACACACAACTGATCGCGAGGCCGTCTTTTCGTTAACTGTTCGGCGTTGTCAATGCCAAAAGAGCCAAAAGCAATGGGTTGGACTTGGACTCGCCGGCGTTATTGGTTTAAGTTGTTCGCTGCTGTTGTTGTTTGTGTGTTGCTCGTAGCAAATTTCACTTTCTCCGACACAGCGTGCTTTTAAAAAAGTCGCATACACACATGTACTGGTTATAAAATAAAAAAATGTAAGTCATTGGGTTTTGTTTACCTGCCACCGACCTCGCCTCCTTCATCTCTTTTCTCCTCCGCCTTCTCTTTTAATTGATATGCCGTCGTATTGATTTAAATTCGTCTCGAATGGCATGCTACTAAAAATCTAATAATAAACACTAGTTACGAAAAATTAAGTAATACCTCATAACACCTCATTATAGAAATGCGAAAGGCCAATGACTTTCGGCCCTTTGCCTCAGTTTTAATTTAGTTTCAATGCGACCACATAAATATATCATAATTAACTACTCATCCACATATGAAGATCTATTGGAAATTTGGCTTATTAATAATGCCAATGAAGGTCTCGACATCGTTTACTTTTCACATTTGCAGTTCATTTAAAATGTGACGCATTTCGGCCTTTATTTTATTTGTTTTTTCTCTTTGTCTGATTTGGGGCTTTCCCAAAAATGTCTTCATTGCGTGGTAAGTCTTTAAAAAATTCAGTTGATTTAATAAGGGCTTGAGAGAAAAATTAGTAGAAAAGAAATGATAAACTTTGTATTATAAATATTCGGCTCTATTTGTTGACACCTTAATTGGTAAAAAAATATCTTTCAGATAAATCAATTTGGAGGTTCCAAATATTAATTCCCTAATTGCCTTTTAGAGCGCGTTGTTGTAGTCAAGTCTTCAATCAGATTTGATGGTTGTACCACCTTCATTATACCCTGTACCCAAAGGGTACAAGGGTATATTAGTTTTGTGCGAGTGCACATGGAACACACAGAAGGAGGCTTGGTAGACCCCACAAAGTATATATATTCTTGATCAGCATGACAAGCCGAGTCGATATAGCCATGTCCGTCTGTCTGTCTGTATGAACGCAAGGATCTCCGAAAGTATAAGAGCTAGAATAACCAAACTTGGTACACAGATTCTCCTGAGACCGAGAAAGGACGAGTTTGTTCATTTTTTCTGATCCACCCCCCCCCCCACTCCCCCCTATTAACGATTTTCTATAACTCCCGTAATTCTTGGAATTTTGAACTAAAATTTGGTAGTCACATTAGGTTAGTTATTATATAACCGTATACCAAGTCTCATTATGATAGAAAGATCGGAATGAAAGTTATAGCCATATAACCAGGCCCAATGCACACATACATACATATGTACAAGTACACAAACACGCATAAGGCACGATTCTGATGTAAATGTATGTATGCATGCATGGAATATTTTATATTTAAATTAGTTAATTAATTAAATTAATTTAGTTAATTAATTAAATTAAATTAATTAATTAATTAAATTAAATTAATTAATTAATTTAATTACTTTTTTGTGGGGTGGTACAGGGTATTTAAGAGTTGAGCCTGCTCGACTTTAGCATTCCTTTCTTGTTTTATTATAATTCTTATAAAAATGTAAACCCAAAATGAAGTTGATTACAAATGGAACCATTTTATAGCGTCAACCTATCTCCTGACTATAAAAACCAGTATAACACAAATAACAGAGCTAACATGGATGTATGTATGTATAACCGACAATAGCATTAGAACTACAGATTTCTAAATAAGTTCAAAATGTTCAAATGCTGGCTTTTGGAAATATTTGTTCAATTCAGATAAACATTTCTTTGAGAGTTACCCAACAACCCTTATTATACAATATTTCTGTTTTTTAAAACAATCGTTTTAGAATTTGCTTTTTTACACACAGTTCCTTTATTTAGTTATAGCATACAAAATAATTATAATAAAAAAAAATTAAACTAAAAAGTTGTGCATGCAAACAAACACACAGTTTTCCAAGCAATATTTACACACAGAAAATAAAATAAAATACGTATTTCGATACTTGTGAATATATAAACATAAAACGATGAAATTAAAAAAAATCAACAGAATATTAACTTATTTGCTTAAATGAATTCTATAATGTCATTGTTTACTTACTATTATACACACATTTTCCCTAACTATGTGATGATATCTTTTTATTTTATTCAATAATGAGCTGAAACTTTTCCACCTCCTCGCACTCTTTGTTGAAGCTTGTAATGAACTCTTCTAATTTAGCCATATGCTCCGTATCTTTGCGCGAGCAGGCCCGTTTTTTCGCCTGCTGTTTCTGGGGAGATTCGTGCGAGTCCTGCTCGTCATCCTCGGATGAGTCAGTGTCTGGAAAAAGTTGTACACGTTGTTTGCGTTTCCGTTTGGGCTTCTCCTTCACATATGTTCGTCGAGGTTTCTAAATGAATTAAAAATTAATTACTTATTAGAATCAAAGAGTGATAGTTTCGATTAAATGGTGAATTGCTTGAACAAAGTAATTGTGCGAGCGGCTTACTACCGTACAAAGAATAACTTGAATCTTTGCGGCCCTGTTGGCTCAACCGAAACGAATAACTTATTTCAGCTTATGTTAATATGGCGCATGACGTTTAAAGGCATTAAGACTACATAATGCTCCTTCTCAACATCAAACTGCGCGAGAATGATTTTTTTTGGTTAAAAGGTCCGATTGAAACAGAGATAGAATGGCCCCAAATATAGAATAAGCATGACTTTACTTTTTAATAGAGACGCGAATTCATTAAAATTATAATCAATGAAGTAAGCAAGCTACTCAGTTGGTTATTTGCCTATTGAATTAATAATATACTATTTTGGCATTTACTTTTCAAAGACTACAAATTTCCTTGGAAATACCTTCTTCTTACCTTTGTATCGAATGTTTCTTCTGGGTCTCCGAATAAATTTGCAGACTCATTTGCTGGAGTCTTTAGAGGCGTTGCAATCATAGTGGAGCAAAGCATGTCCTTGATATTGCGTTGTTTGGGTGCACGAAATTCAGGATCATCGTATGCATAACGCATAGGCGCTTTCGATACTTGTGGCAGCTCCTGTTCCTTTGGTCGCAGGCACCCAATACGCTGCAGTTTATCGTGCAACGTAATATTTTTATTGGTATTCGGATTTATAGTAATTTGCTGCTCCTCGCTCTCGTTTAAAAACTCTTCAAAGCCGAAGAGGTTGAGAGACTGATTCTGTTGTTGTCTGCTGGCACTTTCAGGTCTATTTTCGGTGTCATTGAGAGTATCCTCAAAGCCAAATAGACTTTCACTTTTCCGCCTGCTCGAAAATTGTTCGGCAACTTTTGTTGTTTGCTTTACAGGTGTCTTTTCTGGCGGCACTGCCGCATTTTTCTTCCACGAAGGCAACACAACCACATCCAATATATTAATGTCTTTAAGGGGACTGCGATGCTGAAGCGTGCGTCGAGGATTCGGAAAGTGTACAAAATTTTCAGAGCTTTCATTTTCTTGGCCGCTGACTGCGGTTGGCGTCGATGGAGTTGCAAAACTTTTCTGCCTTGCATTTGGACTTTTATGCATGACTCGATGAGGAGACGCAGGAGGAATGTTTTCACCATTAGAATCATTGGCTGTTGAGTTATCGTTTAATGACGGCGCTACTGACTCTTCCATGAGAGCTGACGGCGGTGGCTCTTCATCGGGCACATAGACGTTCCGACGACGAATATAATCACTGGAATAGGAAGGCAACAGAGAGCTATTGCGCCCAAAGACGAATGTATTGGGTAATGGCGCCTCGTCGGACACACGCCACGGCGACACGTTTCCAGATGAGGCTGGAGTTTGACGTTTGCCGCCTGATGATGGCATAATTGGCGATATTGCTGACGTATTCATGCCTGTGGCATTTTTTCGATTCACGGGCGTGCTTATAAATTTTCGAGCTACTTCTAACAGTTTGCGACGCTTCGATAAGCTATCTGGCGTGTGTTTGCTGGCCTGTTTTAGCAATACCGAACGTTGCAAGTTGTTTAATGTCGTCGTTTTCACATTTTGGTTCGGGTTTTGGGGTCTGCCGTGTATCTGTGCAGTTACTTGCACAGACTCTGAAGGTTCATCATCATCACTCATGGCATTTTCATCCGGTTCATATATTGGGGATATGGGACGTTCCTTCTCAGCGATGTCCAACTGAACTGCTTCCGCTTGGTTATCGGCGGCGGGAACTTCCTCAGCCAAACTTTGTAGAGAGCATTGCTTGCGTTTGCCCACAGGGCGTATTTTCTTCTTAATGGCTTTGGCTCGAAATCGACCGGTTGTCTTCAAACGTGTGACCATTACCGCTCTGCCCTCGTCTACCATCTTTTTTATAATATCTGCCGTGGGATCGGCACGTTTTTCAGTATCAGAGTCTGTAGTTTGTGACTGCGACAAATATTCGTACAGATTGCGTTTTATTGAGGACTGTCGACGCGCAGGAGCCGCATCCCTGTGGAAAAAACGATGCCTCTTTTCTGGTCCTACAGCCTCGTCCGTGGATTCCTTCATATCACTTGTATTTTTTGGAATGGCTGCCGCCAGGCGCTTTATGCGTACTTGACAAGGGGATTTAAATGTATCTGAAACATATTTCTATAGTGTCTTCAGTGTCATCGTTTATTGAAAAATGCTTACCCTTGGACTGGCTGGATGCATTTGGTGCCGATGGTTTGGGACTTAGTCGCTTCATCAGCACCCGGCAGGGCGATACCAATTTACCTGTGAGATGTGATTAATTTCAGCTGTATGAAACGTTTGTAAAAAAGTCATACCTGCTGGTGGATTGGAGGATTTGACTCCGGTTTGCTTCAGGCTTAGTTGCTTGATGCCTGCCCGGCGGGGAGATATAAATTTACCTGTGAGATATTGTTATCAGATCTACTTTGTGTGTGTGCATTGTGCTTACCTGCTGGTGGTCCGTTGACATTATTTTTCGTTTGAAAACACACTTTAGGCGGTGATGAATGCGATGTGTATCGCATTGTGGAATTTCGTGGTGGTTCAAACGCACTTACATCAAGGGCGCTTTCCATCACTGGTGAGGGCTCTCTGGGCCGTGCAACATTTTTGAAATTCTCACTGCTAAGAGCATTATCATTTGTTTGAAATGATGTGGACATAGGTTTGTTTACTGGGAGTTTGCTTCGCTTGAGAAGTACAACGCATTTTCTCTTGCAAAGCGTGGCATTTGAGGCGTCAAAGTCGGGACGCCGAATTTTCGTGGGTACAGTTTCCTTATTGCGCAGCCGATACGCTGAATTCAACGAAACATAATTAGCCGAAGATTTTATCAATTGTTTTTTACGCGTTTTAACCATTTTGTTGCTTTATATTTGAATTGCCTTCTTGAAACATTAAAGGAACAGGATTTGTTTACAAAGTGACCAAGCGGGGATGCTAGCTGGTTAGCGCAATGGTGACCAAAAGTGTTGTTGAGTGCTGGAAACTAATCGATAACCTTGCGACATCGATAGATGCGCAAGTCGCAGGTCACTTGCAGCACTGGCTATGGCTACAAAAATCATCTGATGGGACTGACTATGAAAATTTTTTGAGCCAAACAAATACACCTAAACAGAGTTTAATATGGTTGAATAATATTATTAATTAAAATTCCAAATTCTCAAAACGTGTAGTTTGCGCCAGCAAGCAAACAGACTGTGTTGTGCTACGGTCGGGAAGTGGAGAAAAAGCGTCTTGCCAATCAAGTGAAAGTTTTCTCTTCTTTGTTGTTTTGTAATTGTTTTTTGCCTTACAATACACTTACAATTGCCTCGCATTTTGGGCCATTATTGAGCCACTATCTGAAACGTTATAGCGCGCGCGGAGTGTAATAGTGCTCGTCGCTGACATCGCCTGCCATCAATTTCTGCACGCTCTGGCCTTATTGTGTTATATATATACATCACCTATGTATATGTTAATACATTAAGCGAGTACTATTCGCAGTGGCAGCAACGTGAATCGCAGCATAAGAAGGCCTTGTACGTACGAGTTTATTGCGCCAGGTACCAGTTGTGGCAGTGGCACACCAATAAGGGTCTAATAGGAAAAACTCGCGCGAAACTATTTATACCCACCCTCTCCCATTCCCGTTGCACTTCCACACTCAATACACACACAAACAAACAATTGTAACCAACTCAGCTCGGCCCACCTTGAAGGCTGTTAGTGACGACGGTAGTGAGCCAGTATGTAGATACCAACAGGGTCAAGGGCATTTGTTTGGGCGGGTTGGGCCTTTTGTTTGGTTTTCTTTAATTAAATAATGCTTTGTTCTACTGCTGCCAATTTATATGCATTTATACATATGTATGTAAAATATAGCTCTCTCCCTATCTATATCTTTGCATACTTTACGCGTGCTATTGCCTATTAACAAATAAAACAAACAACGCTAATGCTGGCATTAACAGACAGCAACGTGCAACTGAGTCTGGGTCTGAGTAGCGGGCGAGTGCGCATTATTCGAGGCATCGAGACGTTAGCGGTTGCGTCGCAGAGTACGTTGTCGTTGTTATTGCACTTGCTTGTCTGGCCGCGCAAAAGATGTGCGATACAAATAACAAGGCGCAGAAATGGAAATGTGACCTTTGCACGTATGAAAACTATCCATCCTCAATGAAATGTACAATGTGCACGGCCAGCAAACCGCTGCTGAACGAAGATATATTTCGGTAAGTCGTCCTTATTGCTTTTCCATTCGACTCTCCATTAATCAATGCCTTGACTTTGCAGGCTCAGTCCGCCGGAGGCGACAACAGCACAATCACACGACAACAACAGCGCCGATGGAGCAGCAGCAGGTCTGGCTGTTGAGCCCACGTCCACTTGCTATACACGTCCTGAAACACAACAGCAACGGGTACGTGGTCCTATGGGCAGTGCCGACCCCGAAAAGTGGGCGTGCAAAGTCTGCACCTATTTGAATTGGCCACGCAGCCTAAGATGCGTGCAATGCTGCACGAAACGAGGCGGAGTTGTTACGGAGTTTGTTGGTCTGCCCGCTGCTTCGACGGATCCACACCCGGAGGCCCAGAGTCAGGACTGTGTGGATCGATCAAGTGAGAAACTGCAAGCCTTGCGCATTAGTGGCTCAGACACAGAGCTCAATGCTCGCGGCTGTACCATTGATATTGAAAGGCAGAGACAGAATGAGGCCTCCAATCAGCAGCTTATCGGAGCAACCGCCTCGCATCGAGTGAACTTAATTCCAACAGTCGATCAGCAGTGCAGCAATACTACGCACCTCAATAATCTCGCTAATACATCTCAGAACCAACAGAATCTGGCACCACAGCAGCAGCAGCAGTTGCAGCAACACAACTCGTCCGCATCTTTGCAGCAGAAACATTGTTATGTGGCCAAATGGGCTTGCAATGTAAGTGGCTCCGTTCACGTACATTAATGCGTTATATTTAATATACAACCATTGCATTACAGTCGTGTACTTACGAGAACTGGCCAAAGAGTCTCAAATGCTCCATGTGTGGCAAGCAAAAGGAGCCCACCGGTTCGCAATGCGATTTGAATGCCAGCTCCAGCATATCCGGCAGCAACAAACAATTAAACATTCAGGATGAACAACAGCAGCAGAATGCGGATACAGTCAGCGTCAACAATTCATTCAATAAGAAGCATATTTATCAACTAGGTACGTCCTCATGCTTTTTTATTTATATATATATTTAAATTGTTAATGGAAGTAGCAATTTGTGGGTTGGTTTTTCCGCCCTCTATAAATTCATACTACTTATGTATGTATGTACACACGTAGTATATAGTACAGGTCAATAGTTCATAAATAAAAAAACTTTGATTAGAATGAGATTTTTTGAGATAATTGTTTTGTTTTTAATCGAAATGTTCAATTAATACTAAAGACAAAATCTGTTCATAAATTGGTTGGCCAGATAGATTTACTTCCGTAATGACAAACAAACGAAATTATTGTTACATAAAACAAAATTTTGTAAGAATTATTTTTTTGAATTTCACTTCAACCTTAAAATGGACTATCTTTCAGAAATTTATTATAGTTATATTTTGTTACTTTAATCTCAAAGGAAATGATTATTTTTGAGTATAAATCAAATCATTTCTAGACTGAAATAAACAAAAATATTAATAAATAAACTTGAAACGAACAATTTAAATACATTTTCAAATATAAATAAAAGCAACTAAGCAGTTTTTAGTAGGAATAAAATCAGAAGCCTTTATGAAATAATTGTATCTTTTAAAATAAAAGCGCTAGGCGGGTTTATCTAAGACTACAGGTTCACAAAATTTTTTTTTTAAGTTGTTATACAAAAATTCGCTCTTATGAGCTCTCAAATACTGTTCTTTCTTATTTAAGTTGTGACATTTCGGAAAGTACGGCTTAGTGTGAGAACGAATCTTTTTTTAAGAGCTTACACTAGAAAACTATAATAAATATTGTAACATATAAGGGGAAAGGTTTTTTTTGAATTGCACCTGGTTTTATATTTGGTGTACGACTTAACCGGCTAGTTGCTGCTACGGCAAAAACCAAAGATCAAAGATCGTAAGCCAAATTTCACAAAACAAAAAAAGGCAGAGTGCTTTGTGCTCGCATTGGAATTTTTTTAAAAAAAAGCTCATAGTGTGATCTCAGTTTCTCAATTAAGTTTTTATTAAACAGTTCACGATTTCGTTCAACCAATAGTCCTTAAATCTAAGCGCCAAACAATACGGTCTTTGCGTTACTTCAGTCTAAACTTCATGCAAAGTCATAGCAACTAATTGTTTTTATATATAGTATGAAATGACCGTACATTGGACTGCATTAACAAATTGAAAATACCATCATTACAATGCAATACATTCCTTACCATTTGCAGGTTCTTCAGAAACTATCAACAACTGTGATACGCTGCAGGAGCGCCAGGAGCGTCGCCAGCGTCAGATTAGGCGCCAAGTGGACTGGCAGTGGCTAAACGCCTGCCTGGGCGTGGTCGAGAACAACTATAGTGCCGTGGAGGCCTATTTATCGTGTGGTGGGAATCCAGCGCGTTCCCTGACGAGCACAGAAATTGCCGCACTGAATCGCAATTCGGCTTTCGATGTAGGTCACACGCTTATACACCTAGCTATTCGTTTCCATCGGGAGGAAATGTTACCCATGCTGTTAGCCCAAATCTCTGGCTCTGGGCCGGGTATAAAACGTGTGCCGTCTTATGTGGCGCCCGATTTGGCCGCCGACATTCGTCGGCATTTCGCAAACATGTTGCGCATGCGCAAATCGGGTCTGGCCTGCCACTATGTGCAGGAACATGCCACCTTCGCGCTGCCGTCAGAGATAGAGGAGCTGCCTATACCCATACAGGAGCAGCTGTACGACGAATTATTGGATCGGGATGCGCAAAAGCAGCTGGAAATGCCGCCACCAGCTCTCAATTGGTCCCTGGAGATAACAGCGCGTCTTAGCTCTCGTCTGTTGGTGCTCTGGAACCGAAGTGCTGGCGATTGTTTGCTCGACTCAGCCATGCAGGCCACCTGGGGTGTATTCGACCGCGACAATATCTTAAGACGGGCATTGGCCGACACCTTACACCAGTGCGGGCATATGTAAGTGACATAAATTCTAATTTCCAACGCGTTATTAATTAACAGCTTCTCACATTTGAACAGTTTCTTTACGCGTTGGAAGGAGTACGAAATGCTGCAGGCCTCGATGCTGCACTTTACACTCGAGGATTCGCAATGGGAGGAAGATTGGAGCACATTGCTCTCGTTGGCCAGCCAGCCGGGGTCCTCGCTGGAACAGCTGCATATTCTGGTACTGGCCCATATACTACGACGTCCAATCATTGTTTATGGCGTGAAAAACGTTAAGAGTTTTCGAGGCGAAGACATTGGCTATGCGCGATTTGAAGGCAAGTTGGTGGTCAAAACAATCTTCACAATTATATTTATAATTTCATTTTTCCAGGTCTCTACCTACCTTTCTTCTGGGATCAAAACTTTTGCATTAAATCACCCATTGCGCTGGGTTATACGCGAGGCCACTTTAGCGCTCTAGTGCCAATGGAACCATTTTCTCGCATAGATGGGCGTCGCGACGATGCTGAAGATGTAACATACTTGCCCCTCATGGATTGCGAAACGAAGCTCTTGCCCATTCATTTCCTCACACAGTCTGAGGTCAGTATCTCTGTTCAGGCACAGCAGTTTTGTTGTCTTATTCTGACGAATATTTTACACGCATATAGATTGGCAACGAGGAATCTTTGATGCGACAATGGTTGGATGTCTGTGTCACTGAGGGAGGCCTTTTGGTAGCACAACAAAAATTGCGCAAGCGACCGTTGCTTGTGGCGCAAATGCTGGAAGAGTGGCTAAATCATTACAGGCGCATTGCGTGAGTACTTCAAAAACAGAAAGATTTATTTCTGATATTTATTTATAAGAAAGGATGGCTATTACCTAATTAAGCCAAACGTATAATTTGTTAACTCTTAATTACTTTCACATTATTATTTTTTATATTAAAATTAACAATTACAAATTTTAATAATATTATAGTTAATTACAAGAAAACAAGCGCTACCGTCGAGGCATTTAGGCCATTGTATTTGATTTTTTAGACCTATCCATGAGAAATTTCAAAATAAAAGCAATGATTGAGGTATAATTGTCTTTTATCTGTTGTAGACAAGTGATAACTGCCCCATTTGTGAGACGTCCGCAAATCACCCACTATTCCAGCGATGGCGACTCAGACGAAGAGTAGAAACGGAAGCATCACGCATCCCATGTGTCAACATTTTATCGAAAATTTCTTATTGTTGATTATGAATTTACGCATATACATATAAACACACAAACACACATCTATATATATATATATATATATTTAGTTCGGCTAGATGAACTTTTCGAAATGCAGTCGCAGCTCCTATGCACTTGTAACGCAATTAGTTGAATGGGCCGTTTAATGAGCAGCTTATATAAAATATTTACAAGCAGTTATACCAGTTGTAGTTGTTTCTAAGCGCAAACAATAGGGCAAGGGTTTAAAAAAAACTCATTGCACGCAAACCCACACACATACATATATATATACATCAATTGATCTGTCATATCCGTTTCCAATTCAACATTTGTTGGTTTTTAGTCAAATTTATTCATTGTGGATCAACGAGTATGAAGGGTAATGCTGAGGACAGGTAATCTACTAAAACGTCTAGTAAATGCAATCGAATTCGAACCTAAAAACTAAATTAAAATGGGAAGTTAAAATACAATCTTTATAGAGCCGGATCGAAAACTGAGAACAGTGAAAATAAATATATTTAATACATATATATAAACACACAACAAATATATGATATGTAAAACTATGTTTAAACTACGCTAAATCTCTATGTACTATTAAATTTTAAAAAGTGAATTCAAACAAAACACAATAATTTGGGGAATATGAAGTTATATTTAAGGCAATTGAAAAGTTTATTTATAGTTGTTTAAAAAACATTTTGGATTTATGAACTATTATTATATACATATATACTTATACACAAAACATATAGAAGAAATCCTATGGTTCCAAAGTTGAACAAAGGGCCACTAAAATTTTATCTCATTATTTTTGTTAGTAATGTTATTAAAATTAATTATTATTATTATATACATTAAACAACTGTGCTAAATGTACACGCAAAAAAAACACATAAAAACAAAGTTCAATGAATATTTAATTTATTTTAAAAAATTCTATGAAATAAAAATTTTAAGTAAAATGTATATTGCTGACTATTTTTACTCGTGACCAAAAATATCTATTTACAAGTTATTACCGCATGGTTGAAAAAGATGGAAGAATTTCATGATATGTAGGATAAATAAAATGATTTAGATGCAGTTTCGGAATAGTGAAGAAATCATAGTACACATTTATCCAATTTCGTTATGATAACTAAGTGGGTGGAATTTTCTGCATTCAAAATTTTCTTTCAGGATTTATTAAAATCCTTCATAGGTGCGAATTAATGATAGTTCAATTTGAATTTACTTTAACAACTTTTATATATACTATCCGTTTTTTTTTCTAAGTTATCAAAATTATCTTAGTCCTGTAATGCTACCAATTTTGCCGTTTCTTTTGACATCATATATTTTTCGAATTTATATTAATCAATATTCTGTTAACTGAAACTGCTGATATTATGTTTTGTTTTCTATTTTCACTATTTTCCAAATTTAAATTTTCGGTTTCAATTATGTTGTATTGTTAGCAGTAATTCTAATTGGTAGAGGTGGTTGCTTTGAAGAGCCGCGTGAAAGTGTCTGAGGTAAGGTCGCCGATAACATATCGATAAATGTATCTTATGGTTGCACGTTCATCCCCAATTTGTATCTGAGATAGTCAGCCAGTTCCGTTGTTGCCGTCGTCGCTCGTCGGAGTACGTTTGTTGGTGCGGTGTTTTCGGCAGCTCCGAGTTGGAATTCATTTTTACAGTCGCAGGAAGGGCATTAAAAACCACAATTTTTCTCTGTGATTTTTGTCGGCTAATTAGCAAAAATAACATTCGTGAGTTAAGCAGTGCGAATGCCATCCATTATCTAAAAGGCTACTCAAAGATACGAATGCACACAAGAAAGATACAAATAGAAGAAATATCTAAGCAGAAGAAAATTCAGTTTGTCGTTGGTAAAGTGAAGAGAAGTGAAGAGGAAGTAGTGGTGACCTGTGCGCGTGTAGTTGTGCTTTCTACTTGCGTGTGTACCGTTCCGTGAGTGCGTCTGTCAGTGTGTTCGTGTTTGTGTTTCCCTCCCCATTTCGCAGGCGCAAGTGCGAAGAGCATAGCATTAGCTCGCTATGGGTAAGTTATATTCCAGCATACTAACGTGTGTGTCTGTGTGTGTGTTGATTCTATCTATGTGAGCAAAATTGCGCAAGTGAAAGAGGGTGGCCCTCTCTCCTGCCGCTGCGTATGCTCAGATAGTAAACTGGATGGGCATTAACGTAGTACAAGCCATGTATTAAAAGGCATACGAAAAAAATGAAATGCATTGACGGTGGCCAATCAATATAGAAATGCTTTCGGCCAGCTGTCTTGGCTTTTGCGGTTACCTTTGCTCGCACATGTATTTCCATGTATGTACGTATGTATAGGCCCAGTCTCCGTCGTCGTCACCGTGACAGAGACTCACGCACGCACATATGATTGGCGGTCTCGTCCACTCCCTATTTTATTTCTCAGCTGCGATGACGTCAGTGTTGTTGTAAGAACAAGTTTTTTGTTGTATTTTTGCCAACTGATGCCGACACCGCCCCAACAACAACAGCAACAACAACAACAACAGCCGTCGTTCTACATTAAGTTGATATAAAAAACCTGTCCGAAAAAAAACCTCAAAGTGCATTCAATTACATGAATGTAGTACACACGGTACCGTTACTTGCAGGTCGCCAACGCTGCCACCTTCGTGCTCCCTTTGAATGTACCGTTTGATGTGCTCAGTGCAGCGTCAGCGGCGCCAATGAGTTGGTTTTTGTAACTGTAATCGAAGCCCTTCTTTATTCCACAGCATAGACCCATACAGTATAGCCTCGATCATTTAGACACACAGTGACAAGAAGGGCTTAATCCATTGATTAAATCCTATTTAAATTATTTACTAATTGTCGACGGTTCGTTTAATGTTGCTTTGTGTGTGCAAAAATGTTTATATTAAAAAAATCGTGATATTCTGTACTTTTAATTATTTAATGCATGTATTGATTCCAATTCTTTAGATGTCATCTCAGTCGATCTTGATGTTAAACCAATAATCAATATAATTTTCCAAATAAACATGTGTATAACCAGTGATACACTAAATCTGAATATTATTCATATTCTTGAAGAATTATAGTTGTACTTTTAGAAAATCAACTTTTCATTAAGAGACTTGGGTGCTGATTTTATTTTATCTCCACAATTTTGTACATAAAGTGAAGTTTTTTAAATAAATACAATATTCAGATTTCTTAGGTGAATGAAAACAGTGGAGAATAAATGGATATCCGAATTAACGCGTTCTTTGAGCTAAAGAGGTTGCACTGTAATAAATGTGTATGTACATAGTTTGGTGCATCGCCATTGTTAATGATTAATTACTTGAGTCGTCCGTCCGGTTCTCTATTCTTGGTTCTGTGGCCCTAATTGAGTTCATGTGCGCTCTTCTGGGCCCTATCGGGCGGCCAAACACTTGTAGTTGTGTTCGTGCTTAAAATGTCTAATTGTCTGTCAAGCTACTGCGTTCCTCGGGCTCGGCACAAAATGCAGCGTTCCCCACTCTCAGATTATTATGGAAAAGGCTTAACAATAGCCGTACATGCGGCAACAACGACTCAACATGAATTCATAGCGGGCGCATTGACTTTATTAAGTTTCCTTTTTTGTTTTATTTTTTAAATTCCCGCTGCTTCCCTCCGCCATCCATCGTGTTTTTTTCAAAAACAAATTCAAATGAAACCGAAAGGGGCAAACGAGTTATTTGCTGCACCACCACCAATAGCAACAACAACAACAACAACAACAACCACTTAGGCGCTTTTCTCATTTATTTGTTCGTTTATTTTTGTTTGTGAAGTTTTATTTCTGATGTTCATGCGCTTCATTCCTTTTCCCAGCAGCTCATTGGGGAGCCAGCGGGTTATATGGGTCAGAGCACTTGCTGCAGCTGAAAGCAGTGCATGATGGCTAGAGATGGGGCCGTGACTTAATCAGGAAGAATATGATCCCTCTACAGATAGGTTTCAGAAGAACTCGAAGTATCTGTTAGCAGTAAAGCTACTACATCTACTGATATTTAAATTATAATATTTAAATTCTTTTTGATATATACAAGTAATTTCGGAATTCTGATTTTTCGACAATTCGTTTTTGTTAAAAAGTCGCAGAATAAAATCCTCAGGCTCATATTCATAAAACGTCATAAATTAAATATAATTTTTTGTGTATTATTCATTGTTTTATAATAACAATTATATCATTGTTTGTTTCCTGTATATAATTTTTCTTAATTCTGCAATTTGGCAAAAAAAACATTCGGAAATTAAAGCTGAAGAAGTTACTTAAATTGTTATTCGGAAATAGTTAAACATTTATATATTTTCAAAAGCTCAAAGGTTGAGTAAGTGGAGTTCCGAATTGTTCTTAATCTATCTTATTTGATTCCTTGGCTTCATCATAACGTAAAATTTAATTTAAAATTTGATGAATTTCGTAACTTTCCACATTGCGGAAGATTTTGCAATAATGCTGCTTAAAATATTTTATAAAATAATTATAATATTTTTGTATGTATAGTTTTATAAATTTCTTTGGGCTTTTGTACATCTGATTAAAAAAAAACACGCCTAGTTGGGCTCAGCCATCTCTAGCAGCGGTGACCGAAGAAGAAGACGCCTCACGTCCGCCCGCTGTGTTTCGCCTAATTGAATGCTATTTTCGTAGACGCAGCGTCATCGTTGTAGCTGTATCTGTAGTTGTTGTTGGCTGCGCTTTTCACTTTTCTCTCGTCTAACAAGCATACAGGAAGCGCGCACTTTTAATCCACTTGTCGTTGCGTATACGCCAGGTAGTACAGCATATAACAGTTGCGATATGAGTAATGCTCTGTGTACGGATTTCAGCATAAATATGTTTATATTCGAAGCAGTTGGTAGCATGTGGGTGGAAAAATATGTACATATGTATGTACATACATGCATATATGTATGTATATGTCTATGCGTATGTTTGGGGTTAGCTGAAGCTGCGCTGCGTTGTGAATTCAGTTGTTTGCCAGTCTCAGAGAAGTGCTTCGCCTACCAGGCCAGGTAGCGCCACCTGCCTTGACCTCAAATGCAGTGTCCTTGCTTGTTGCCAACCTGCACACAACGCCCATTGCCACCCCAACGGCCTGCTTACAGCCAGCCAGCCTGCCTGCCTCACATCCACAACTGTTGACGCATGTTTATTTGTTTTGGGGCTTCTAAGCGTTGTTGCTCCAAAAATTCAATACGCATTATGAGTTTGTTTATGTGTGTGTTTGCATGTCATTGTTGCTGTTGCTCTGACAGAAGGTCGCATATTTTCATTTTCATTTCCACGCTTTTATTCACTTGCTTTCAGCTTCGTTTTTTATGTTTTTTTTTGTATTCCGCATGGCATTTAAGGTTATGGTCGTTTGGATTTTGGGGCGCGGTTTTCAAAGTTGACCTTTCTGCATCGAAAATTAAGCTTGCTTTCCTTTTTTTAATATTTAGGCTGCAACCTTGGACTTGCCCTCAGCTGTTAAAGAGTGTGTTGTTGTGTGTTTGTTTGCATTTAAACCTGAATCTAAATTCTAGTTTGAATTTGAATTTAAAATTATTTTCGCAACGACGCCGTCTAACCAGTTTATGAGGTACGCAGTTTTCAGCAAGCCAGCACCAGCCCCCTTCCCAGCCCCGCCTGCCCGTCTGCCACAACTTCGTAAAACTTCAATTTCAATGTGGCGTATGTTGTGGTTGGTCGCTCGGCGACGGCGCCGCCGGTGACATCATCGGCACTAAAATCGGTGCCGTAATTACAATAAAAAAGAAGAAAATAAATTTGAGTGCGCTCATGGGGTTTCGGTTACGTTTATTTTTCTCTTAACTTGCCTCGTTTATTAACTCAAATCGAGTAAAGTATATTTGTGTACTATAGTTAACTTGAATTGTATCTCTCTCCTTTGCTTTTCACAAATTTGTTCAGCCAATCCGCATAATTATAATATCCATGCTAATGGAAAACTGTTGAAGTCTTAATAACAATATATATGTATGTATGTATACATTTTAAATACAAGCATACACTTGCAAAGTCGAAAACGTCTGTTGCATAATAAACAAATACATGGAGCACAAAAAAAAGAAAATAAAAAACGTAAAAATATGTACAAGCGTGAAATAAATTAATTGATACACAAAACACGTAGCTATACAAATACAAATAATTCTGTATGCATGTATGTGTGATGATTTGCTTCTATACCTTCATACGTACATACATACATAAGTGTGCTAATACATGCATATCTGTGTGCTTGTATATACTTGTACGTCACCGTTATAATGTCGACTGTATTGTTAACCGTTTTCGTTGTTGCTCCTTTTTTTGTACAACAAAGCGACCGCAAACTTGGCTTATCAGTGAATAGAATTCTATTTTAAAAGCAAAAAAGAAATACTATACATACACATGAACAGGGAAAGAAAGAGTAGACAACAGTTTTAAATGAAATGAAATTAAACAAAAAAATACTTAATTAATGGTGCGCCGACTAACATATGCCCTAAAAAATGGTTAAGAATACAACCCCATAGGTATTCTAAAAATTATTATGAAATTTCAAAGAACACAGTCTCAAAATCCTCGTATCAATTATTGAAGTTGCAAATTTGTTCGCCCATTTGTTCAATAGTATTTAAATTTTATTATGTTATTATTATTTTTTTTAATTTTCACAGCTTTAAAAAAAAGGATTCTAGAAATTCTTGAAAAACAAACCATTCTCTTCCATAATTTCATTCATTTCTATATTTTATTAATTTTTTCAAGTTGGAAAATATGTATATATGTTTAAAATTTCTATATGAAAAGAAAAAGTAGACTTAAAAACTAATCAACATTTTTTTTAAGTTTTAATGTTATTATGAGTTACAAAAAATAGATAAATATATGTACGTATTTATTTGTTATTCCATTTTGGGGAACTCCTTTAAAACGAATTTCTTAGGTTATAAGCATCTAGAGATCTTACAATTTTAAGACATTTCACAGCATATTAAAATGAAGTATTTTTAAAATCGATCTTGTCAGAAGCTCCTTTGGCTTAGTCAACCGATATGCCTTATATTTGAAATTGTAGTAAGCCTTCAAATGTAGATTGTTTTAAGAAAACACAAAATTCACAAAACTATTTTTTGAATGTTCTTGCCGAAGCTATAAATATACTTTAGCTAAAAATGGTATAAGCTTTCTCCTATTTGTTGTTTCGAATATGAATAAAGTGTGTTTACCAAAGATGTACAAAAACTTTCAATCGAATATAAGATAAGATACTTAACATAGGGAATAACAAGTGGTTGAAAAAGGGAGGAATAAATGAAACAGTCGATAAAATTGTTTGTACAACTTCGAAATAATATTTACATTAAGGAATAATAAGTTGGTGATTCATAAATATGTATAAAAAGAACTGCCCTAAAAAGAAAGAAAAAAGAGGATGAATAAATAAAACACACAATAAGCTCTGTATCTAAACTGACTTACAATACAAACAGATATTGTGTTCTCTATTTATACATACCTGCACTATATCTGCTCGTATATATAAATATACATATGTACATATATACACATTCAGGTATACATATGTATATGTGTGTTTGAAAAGCGCAGCAACTTGTGCTTCTGTTGTTTTTGTTGTTATCTTTTGAAGCAACCACAGAACAGACCGGGTATGATGTCTGATGTCGGATGATGATGCCGTCCGCCGCTGTCGCTTTTTGGAAAGATCAGCATCAGTCATGGGCGGTAATTTGTTTCATTTGGTTTTTAGTTTTTTGATGCCGTCATGGCATGCACATCGCATCTACTGCCCCCTCCCCCCATTCAGAGGTCATTCTACTCCGAATTGTATAGGGGACTTAGAATGAAAGCTAACATGATATATGACAGTGCTTAGTTTTTGTTTGCTAGACATTTTGATATTTTGATAGATATAGTATTTGTTCTGCTGTTGTGGTTAAAATAAATACATTTATGCAAACGATTTTAATGGTCTGCTAAGCTGCAGCATTATGATTTATAGTATTCATAAGACCTGTAATATGAAAACATGTTTTGGCTTTCCCGAAAATACTTATAAATCTGAAACCTAAAGTATGTTGAACAGCTTTTTCATTTTCTCACACTGACTTGGCAATAATTGGGTTTCGCTTTCGAATGCGATTGTAGAAACTTTATACCTGAAGAGGGCAAATAGTGATACAAAAAGTAAATAATAATGGCATCTTGAAAACTTTTTTTCTTAAATATTGTTACAACTTAACATTATGAACGTGTATTACTATTTGAACATTGACAAAGAAAATATGTAATTAATTCAAACAAAACAAAATAATTGTCTGAATTTAAAAAATAAGGACTTGATTAGCAGTACTCTCCGAAACACGTGAAATGAGCCTTTTCTGGACTTTTAGCGCTACAAATATTTAAATTTAGGAAAGGAAAATTAGGAAAAATGAAAATTAAAAAATGTCTGTAGTTTATTAAATAAAAATTTAATAAGCCCAATCTTCAAACAATTGTTCATTTGCTTAGAATAAAAGTTTTGTTCAAATACTATATATATGTACAATAAATATTTATAAACATACATAGTATGTATTTACTTAATAAATGAAAATAAATTACTTTCAAGTTTATTTAACCAATTTAATGATTGTCCACAATGGACAGTTTCAAATAAAAACACTCTGCTAATAAAAAAATATGTAATATTTTATAAAGTATCTTTATAAAGTAATAAAGAAAAAAGCACATTAAAAAATTAATTTTTTTTCAATAAAATTTATGACTATTTTATTTAAAATTTAATGGTATTGTTTTTTGTTAAAATATATATATTTATATACTTTTCCTTATTTCCTTTTCCTTATATTAAGCTTATCATAAATGTTGGAAACATAAAATTCAATAATGAAAATACAGAAATTCAGAAAACATAATATACAAGTAAATTATTTGTCTTTGATTCTGTCATGATACGAGTAGTCTTATCAGTATAATCAAGTGATTTAACTATTCGTAACCTAACTTTCTGCCCTCGTCGTCACTGTCCAATTTTGCGACAGTTATGAGCTCAACCCAATTGTTTTTGCCATCAACTTGTGCGAAGTGTCTTCACGCCTTCCTGTACTTAAAGACGCCCGTCCATAAATTCCAAATCGAGAACGCAACCCTTTATGGTATTCCATTTTATCGTTGTCAAGAGCGGTGCGAGACACTTGTGTACATTAATTAAAAGTAAATATGTATAAAGTAGGTATGTACATATGTATTGCATGAGCCGCCCTTGGCCTTATCAATGATAAGATTAATTGACGCATGAGTCATGAGACGAATTGAAACCGAAAAAAGTATGCCTATGTTGTGTCGTCTGAAAATGTTTAATATTGACAGACAGGTTTTCTGACATGTGCATACACAATTCACACAATTTACACCGAGCTGGGGTTTAAAGTGCGCTCAGCAAAACGGCACAAGGTTTGGCATTATCACATAATCACATATGCATATGACATCAGCGACAGCGACGCCAGCGTCACGCCAACGCAGCCATGGCGTATACGTAATCAGGGGGCGCCCGCGCTTCAACGCTGATTGAATTTAAAAAAACTAACACTTGCAAAGCTTAAATAACAGCAGCATTCTCGCACACACTCACTCTCACTCTCTCTCTCTCTCTCTTTTAGGTAAACAAAAAATCTACTGTGCGAAATGCACTAAAAAGTGTTCCGGCGAGGTGCTGCGTGTTGCCGACAATCACTTCCACAAGGCCTGTTTTCAGTGCTGCCAGTGCAAGAAATCGCTAGCCACCGGCGGATTCTTTACAAAGGATGGGGCCTACTACTGCATACCGGACTATCAGCGGCTCTACGGCACCAAGTGCGCCACATGTCAGCAGTATGTGGAGGGCGAGGTGGTCTCCACCATGGGCCAGACTTATCATCAGAAGTGTTTCACGTGCTCCAAGTGCCAGCAGCCATTTAAGTCTGGCAGCAAGGTAAGTCGAAAGCCCAACAAGTTCCGTAAAAATGAGACAAACATAGGTTTTAAAATAAAAACTTGGAGTTTCTTTTACACCTTTAAGTAGTGTCTTAGTAGTGCAATTTCCTATTAGGCAGATAAACATGTACAATGCTCTAAGCGCTTAAAAAATAATGATAATGAGACAGGACTTTAAATCGCAGTTAATAAAAAGTGGCTAATAAAAAGTAAACCATAAAAATACGGGGTGCGCCATCTTTTATGTCGGTATGTAAATATTGAATAACTTTGTCATTAGTGAACCGATTGACTTGAGTAGACCAGTGTTGAAAGCCTCAGTTCAAGAAATTGTACAGAACCAAATTAAATAAAAATATCTCATACTTGAAAATCGGTTGTTTATTTTCAAAGATATTCAATGTTTACATACCGACATAAAAGATGGCGCACCCTGTATAATGTCAAATAGAAATAAACAACGATAATGCGAACTGAAGGGAACTGAACGGGATTTAAGTGTACCTTAGATGTAAGGAACCATTTCATCACTCTCTGAAGTTTGTTGGCATTAATGGGGAAAATCTCATTTATCTGGTTGAGTCTAGTATACTGGGGCTTCACAGACAGGTTCTACTTTGAACTGACGCTTTATCTTGAATCTAAGCTGTTTTCATCCTACAAGTATGTCGTTTTACAAAACATGTCGCATCGTAAACGATTTTACAGAAAGGGTGAATACGTGACAGTATTATTATATTCTATTTTGTATTATGTGCACAAATATGGTAGGAAAATATATGCTTTAAAGTTTATACTTTGCTTAATGTTTGTTTAAAGCAGCTCACACATAAACTTAGGCTATAAACCGGTTGGGGGTTTTGAAAAACTACGCATTTCTCAGCACTTGAGGCAGAAATGTTTCGCAAAACAGTTAAATTAATTTATAACTTTTCACCTGCAGGTCACCAACACCGGCAAGGAGGTGCTATGTGAGCAGTGCGTGTCGGGAGCGCCCGTTTCGCCGGCACGCCAGCAGGCGGTGAATTCTGTAAACCAGGCCGCGTCACCGGTGCCTCTGGCGGAGAGTCCCACACGTGCAACGGCACACCAGCAGCTAACGAGCGGCGTCCTTTCGCACAAGGCCCACCTGAAGGAGGACTATGATCCGAACGACTGTGCTGGCTGTGGGGAGCTGCTGAAGGAGGGCCAGGCGTTGGTTGCCCTCGACAGGCAGTGGCATGTGTGGTGCTTCCGGTGCAAGGCCTGCAATGCGGTGCTCAATGGCGAGTACATGGGCAAGGACGGTGTGCCTTACTGTGAGAAGTGCTACCAGAAGGGCTTTGGCGTTAAGTGCGCCTATTGTAATCGCTTCATTAGCGGGAAGGTGCTGCAGGCGGGCGACAACCATCACTTCCATCCAACCTGTGCGCGCTGTACCAAGTGCGGTGATCCGTTTGGCGATGGCGAGGAAATGTACCTGCAAGGCAGCGCTATTTGGCATCCGCGCTGCGGTCCAGGCCCCTCCGAATCGGGCCTCATACTCAATGGCGGTGCGGGCGCTGGCACCACCTCCGTCGCTGGTGGCGCCTCCAATGGCAATTTTACAGACACCGAATGCGATCGCATCAGCTCGAGCGCATTAAGCGAAATGGTATGTAGGTGGACGAGCGTCCACGCCCATTACGCCCACAACACGCACACACGCAACTCGTACTGGCACTGCGTGCACCGAACAGCCTTGGCCTTCACTGCGGGTCCGGCTTTGGCTTGCGCTACTAATCCGAATCTGAATGCGAAACTGAATGCCAGGCACATATCCAACACCTCCAGAGCACCATAAACACCACAAATCACTTATCCATACACCCATCATACACCCATCAATCCACACACAAATACTGCCTTGATATTTTGTTTATCTTCATTTGATTTTGCATTTTAGTTGTTCACTTTGTTTTGAGCTTGCGTTTGATTTTCTGTTGTTTTCAGTACATCCGATCCAGAACACCGAGCTTTAATGGTTCACTTTATTCCTCTAGCCGCAAGGTTTGTTTTTATAATTTCTATGATTTATTTTCCATTACTTTTTTATGATTTAAAAAAAATGCTTTTAAGCCTTACTAACTATCACGGCACTCTCTGCGCTTTCTAAAGAAATGCTTGGTATCTACAAGTTTAGAATTGAATTTTTGTGGTTTCTTGCAGCACTATCGCACCGTCAGTCCGGGCCTGATATTGCGCGAATACGGACGACCTATTGGTGAGGACATTTCTAGGATATATACCTACAGCTATCTGACAGATGCGCCTCACTACTTGCGCAAGCCCATCGATCCGTACGACAAGACGCCGCTGTCGCCGCATTTCCATAGGCCCGCATCCTATGCGACAACGAGCAATGCCGGCTCGGTGGCAGGAAGTCGGCCTCCGTCGCGTCCCCATTCGCGCACGCGCAGCGCCATGAAGGTACTCGTCGACGCCATACGCTCGGAAACGCCACGACCCAAGAGTCCGGGCATGAACAACGAGGAACCCATTGAGTTATCCCACTATCCGGCTGCCAAGAAACCGCCACCTGGCGAGCAACCCAAAATCGAACGAGACGATTTTCCAGCACCGCCTTATCCCTACACAGATCCGGAGCGTCGACGACGCTACAGCGACACATACAAAGGCGTACCGGTATCGGATGATGACGACGAGGGCGGTGACGGCGATCATGCCAATGGCAAGGCCAAGAATGGCGAGGTCCAGACGTAAGTGTCCAAATTCCAGCTTCAACTGTGCTCGAATAACCCATATTCTAATACTTCAGACGTTTGCATCGCGAGGCCGAGCAGCTGGAGAAACTGAATTCGGGCATAGGTTCGGTCATAGCCAAGGACTTGAAGGAGCACGCCAAGTATAGGAAATGGAAGCAAAACAATCTAGATCCGCGCAATGCATCGCGCACGCCGTCAGCCTCAAAGGAGCCCGTATATAAGCTGAGGTAAGCTCAGATCATTGTTTTGGACAATAATTAAAATAATTTTAAGAAAACTCAATAGATTTTAGTAATAGAGAAAAAACTTTCAACATTTTCGATGCGGCATATATATTTCAATTAAAATTTGAAACAGTTCAAATAATTTTAAGAAAATTCAATAGATTTTAGTAATAGAGAAAAACTTTTAACTACTTGAAGTCGTCATACATATTTAAATAAAAGTTTGAAACAGGAACAGGTCTTTTACTTTAAGAACTCAGTTTCTTTTTGTGCATTAACCTTATGTTTAATTCTGAAAAGATATAGAAATCACATAGTAAAAATTTTAAAATTAAAAATATGTAATCTAACATTATATCATAGCACTATAAAATTAAATATTAAAGATATATGCAGATTTAAATAATTTTAATAACCCTCGGATTTATTAATGAAAAATACTGTCTTTTAGGTACGAATCACCCATTGGCGCCTCGCCGTCACGAAATCTGGACCATCAGAAGCCATTCTACGAGGATGAAATGTTCGATCGTTCGACGAGCTATCGGGGCTCGCTGGGCAAATCGCTGGGCAATGCACCCAGCTATAATGGTAATAATCTTGATCCATATGCTTGTAGCACATATGTATGTTCTCTTACAGGCGCGTTATTCGTGTTGTTAGGTTTTTAAAATTGAATATTGTATAATTGACAATCGCCAATTACGTTTATAGCCATACATTCCTATCGCTCGCCGCCCAAGCCCGGATATGGATTCAAAACGACAGCGACCTTGCCGGCCTATATACGTAACGGCTATAGCTCTGTAAGTGAGGCCTGCTTCCAAGTATATACAATCATTGGTGACTGGTGCGAGCCTAAGTGTAGCTAATACTTGCGTTTTGGCGACCTAATTATATACACAAACATACACATACCTCATACTACTTATCTGGAAAGCTCTGCTAAATTTACACAAACATTGTCTCTCCCTACCTTTTCTTTCACTTTGTAATGTTGCTGCTGACGATTGGCGATGGCTGCTGGCTTATATGGTCCAACTAACATACATATATACATATAACTCACATATCTCTGAATTAACTGGTTGGTCTGCCGCTTTATTGTGTGTCTAACTATCGAAACTCTCTTTGTAAATGCATTTGCGACTTTTGTGCTATTTGTTGCCTTTGACACGCGCCACTCATACTACACTAACAAACAATCACACCATCAATACATCCATCCATCTATAAACTGACCATTTTGAATACTTGTACACTCTGAATGCTCAGTGGTGAGCGCTCTCCGACATATTCCCAAACCCGGATACGGCTTGGCTCCTCGCTCACACACATTTAGTTCCACAACATCCGCTGCCGCTACGATGCATGGTGCCACTGTAAGAATGCTTTTGTCGTTGTTGTTGTAATTAGTGTTATACTTTTATTCTGGATATCTACAAATATATACACTTGTACGAGTATATCAATTTGTATTTAAGGAGACACAGGCCGTATTCAAAGCACACACTCTATTTTCGTTTTCTTTGTGTTTTAAGTAATAATTTAAGTAATTAAATAATATCTGCATGCACTTTTGTATTTGCCTTGGTCACAATTTTGTTGGCATGTTAAACTCTTTTTGGGTGTCAACTATTTTCTAACCATTACCTAAACATTCACAGGACTTCTCATATGGAGGTCTGGGCGACAAAACGCACAGCACAGATCTGAGCTGCGGAAAATCAGAGGGTAAGTTTAGAAGTCAATATATTTTTTGTTTCGAAGAATACCTATGTTCGGGAAAATAAAATCTCATAAATTAGTTTTAAATAAATTGTGTAGTCATTCTGCTTTTGGGAAGCAAACAACTTTATTTTTGAAAAATCTATTTGGTCACAGTGCGCTTATATACTTATCTTAATTAGTTTGGATATATTTAACAGATTATTAATAATATTGAAGCCAACTTACTGTTCAAAAGTTTTGGTGATTATTAATAGTGTATTATGTATGTTTGTTTTCCTTTTATGTTTGTTAAACTAATATGTGTAATAATATTATATATTTTAATAATTAATTCTTTATATCTTCATACAGCTTCGGTTGATTCAATTACCGAGGGAGACAGACGCGCATTGGTAAGTAGTAATTGGGTCTCCAATTTGTTCACACATTTATATATTTATAATTATTTTTTAGATGGGCGGTGATTTACCCGCATCGAGCACATACTCGGGTGCTCTATCCTACCACTATCCACAGGCCGGACTCATACGACGCAGCTTGCCGAATATGGCACACTCTATGTTGGTGCACGAGCCGGCCAAAATCTATCCCTATCACTTGTTGATAATCACAAACTATCGTCTGCCATCGGATGTTGATCGCTGTAACTTAGAGGTGTGTATTTTCATATAATATGCAGTATATATCTCTTTTATACTAAACTTTAATTTGTATTACTTTGCAGCGTCATTTGTCGGATATTGAATTCGAGCATGTGTTGCAATGTGCACGGTCCGAGTTCTATCGGCTGCCCCAGTGGAGACGCAACGAATTGAAACGACGCGTAAAGCTGTTCTAAGTGGCTGCCACAGCTGCTTTCGCCGAAACCAAATTTAAAAATTTACCTATACACAGTGAAGTTCATCACTTTTAAAAAGCAACAGCAAGGGCATTAAATGAGGATAGTGGAGAAGAAAAACAACAAAAACTGCTAAGCTAATTTCACAGCCAGTTTTGAAACACGCTTTAAATAGAGTTGTTGCGGGTATAAAACTAACTAAAAAAACATACTTACAAAAAGGAAACATAAATAAATAGTTACAGTATGGAGCCAATACTGCCTGTCGGCTCTAGTTTATTTTTTTAAGCATTAGTTGTGCGCGCTTATAAAAAATTGTAACGCCAAACAAAAAAGAAAATCCAAAAAACAAAGTACGAAAAGAGTATACAAAATTTAATATAATTGATCAGTCAAATGTTTACTTCAAGCGCTATGTCTGGCATAATAACAGCTTTTTATACACACACGATAAAAATGAAAAGCGATGCATGAGCCCATGTATTGTATATTTACGTAATTTTGCTACTTTACACATTGACGTTTTGGATTTGTTTGCAAAGCTATTTTTTTAATTATTTACGTTTACAATTGTAGCTGCATATACAGAAAACATACATAAGCTAAAACAAATGGCAAACAAATGCATCAAAGAAATAAATGTACCTACGAATTGAAGTCAGCAAATTCAAAACAAATAAATTATAATAACAGCTAGATGTGTGGCATTAAATACGCTAAACAATTATTCAAATTTTATTTATTACTAAATATTTTATTTATTTATTTAAATAGAATATGCAATGAATAAACAAACAAAGGACAAAAACAATACGTTTTATAAATAAATACATACATTTGTGTGTGGCGTGACAAGTTACTTGAGTTCGTTTAAAGAGACAGTGTTGTTTGTGTGGGATGGAATGTTGCTAGGAGGACAGAGATTCTTTAAGATAGAGATTTTTAGCATTTTTAGGACTTAATTCTGTTTCTGCAGAACGTCGTCAGTTCGTAAATTGTACGTCATTTGTGTTTTCATCACTGTTAGGCTACTGCCGATTATTTGTTTGTGGTATATTTGGCGCGTGGCGAAACCCAGAGAATCGTAAAAGTCCCGCTCACTCTCCTGCCACTCCGAAACGGTACACTCCAGCGTTGCAAAGCCAGCGTTGACACAATTTTTCGACACCAAACTTATCATGGGCTCCATGATCTTTTGGTGCGGATAAAGCGGAGCTATGGCAAAGCGATAAATAAAGGCCGCATTATATACAGCGTTATGATTTTTCACACTGACGGTCGCCACAATCTTTCTGCGGAACTTCCTCAAAAAATCATTCTCGTATGGTGCTTTCTCCATGAATATATCGTAGCTAGCCTCGTTTGGTGAGCACCGAAAAATGAATGGCTCATAGCACTCTGCCACCTGCCGTAGAAAAGAAATCTACGTTTATTGAGACACTGAGTGTAACTTAAATTTTAGAATTGTATTAACCAAGGATTTAGTAGATGGCTTAAGCCGTATGTGTTCCACAGCTTTGGCATAAAAGGAGGAATATGTTCCCAAGAAGAGGAAGAATATGCATCCTGGTATTGTGAGCGCACAGAAAATTAGTGGCACGCCCAGAAATATAAAAAGTAAAGCCCACGTGATGACTATAAACTGAAGTGTGATCTGGTGACATAGAAAATACATTTAATGTGCTGTTGAGTACTATAGAGATGTAGATTAGGCACGGCATAGACCGCCTTCTTACCTCACGAAAGCAAAAACAATAAAACGACTTTGTAGCAAATGACATAACGTAGTCCCGCACCAGTTCCTGACACTTGAGTTCGTCATCTTCGCGATGGTCGCGTATAACAATAAAAGGCTGCATTCGTTTTAAATACGAACGACGAAAAACAAAACCAGAGGTCCAAACAAAACAAAATGATACAAAACCACAGCTGCTGTATCCTAGAGATGGGCAAATGTATGTGCTGTTACTTTCTGCATTTTTGTGCCAACATTTTATTATTGACAACACTGGTTGCTGGTTTCGCTGCCCACATCTGTTAAACTAAGTCGTTAAAGGAGCGAAACCTAGACTGTTTCCCCACATTCCACAATAGGCAAAATCTGAGACTCATTCTAGAAAGTGGTTGAGAAAAAATTAATAAATAAATAATTAATAACCAACTTACCAACTTTCGGAAACTGATTATCTACAAAATATTATATTTAAATTTAAATCTTGCCAGTGTTGTTTGCTAATAACATAGTTATGAAATATATACTCATTTTAGTCATGTACTCGCTCAATCGAAATACTTGTGTTTTGAATGAGTATTGCGAGTACTTCATTTGTGTTTGTGTTCTAGCCGAAAGTTTTGCATCTGAAAAGTCCTTTAAAAATGGTAGATAGCGTCCGCGATCCATTGCAGCGCACTTTACAGGATGATAAGAACTTTATTTGTGGCGTTGTCGAGGGCTTTTACGGTCGGCCCTGGTCCTTGGAGCAGCGCAAGGATTTGTTTCGCAAATTTAAGATGTGGGGAATGTGCTCCTATGTGTATGCCCCGAAAGATGATTACAAGCACCGAGCCTTCTGGAGAGAGCTCTATACAGTGGATGAGGCTGATAATTTATCAGGTATTAATTAATTAATTTTCTTCATATATGCAATTTGTATGTATTGCGTTGTTTTCCAGGATTAATATCGGCCGCAAAAGAGGCCGGAATAGTTTTCTATTATGCGCTGTCACCCGGCTTAGATATGACCTATAGTAGCCAGAAAGAGATTGCAACATTGAAACGAAAGTTGGATCAGGTTTCACAATTTGGGTGTGAAGCGTTTGCACTGCTGTTTGACGACATCGAGTCCGAACTCTCAAAGGCCGACAAGGAAGTGTTCCAGACATTTGCCAATGCACAAGTTTCTGTCACAAACGAAATTTACGTGCACTTGAGCAGCCCAAAGTTCCTTTTCTGTCCTACACAATACTGTGCGTCACGTGCCGTGCCGAATGTACACGACTCTGAGTATTTAAACACATTGGGATCCAAGCTCAACCACAACATAGATATACTGTGGACGGGCAACAAAGTCATCTCAAAGACTATAACATTGGAGTCCATACAGGAGATCACAGAAGTACTTCGTCGGCCGCCGGTCATTTGGGATAACTTGCATGCGAACGATTATGATCAGAAGCGTGTTTTTTTGGGCCCATATGTGGGCCGTTCACCTGAGCTGATTCCCCATCTCCGTGGCGTAATGACAAATCCAAATTGTGAGTTCTACGCCAACTTCATTGCGATACACACACTGGCCTACTGGTCGCAGTGCAATATGGATTCCAAAATGAACAGTTCGCTGTCGGCCGATATCAAGCTAGAGACTGAAAACGAGGACGAACTGCCTGTGGAGTTCCTCTCGAAAAACATTTACCATCCGCGATTGGCACTCAAGTAAGTATGGGTGTGGTTGGCTATTAGTGAGTCATGCTAATATACATTGATTGTTTAGAAATGCAATATCTGAATGGCTGCCCGAATTCTTTATGGAGAAGGAAGCCTGGGGACCTATAACAAAACCACAACCCCAAGTTCAAAGTAAGTTAATAAAAATGGAAGTGTATTTCATATTCTGTAATATTTGCTCTATTTGTAGTGGTCATGCCTATTATACCGATTATACCATCGATCAACACTTGCATGAGTTTGACGACAACGACAACCACATCGACCAATACTCGAACCGTTCCGGAGGTGAACACCACCCAGCTGCAGGCGTTGGCCGATGTCTGCAGCACGGTCAATTCCTCATCACTTACACCCATATCAAATGCAGTGATGAATTCTTTGGTATCGCCAACTAAAGTTGTTACTAATGATGAGATTATAAACCCTATACCAACCACAGCCGCATCTAACATTGAGTTACCCAAGAAGATACCCATATCTATAGTACCAGTACCCATAATGGAAGCAAAAGGTGTGGAAGACTCTGGGGACTCGGCTGCTGAAAGTGATGGCACAGAACCGGCAGAGCCTACCACACCCAAGCTTTTGAAGCCAGAACAGGTAGAGTCGGCCGCTTCTGTTGAGGATGATATTATTTTTGAAGGGAAGCCAGGAGTGGTTGCAAACCTAAGTGTTGACACCATGCTGGACGAGGCCAGTTCGAGTCCACTGAGCACAGGTATTAACGAACCCATGGAGTGCAGCAGCAGCATAGCTTCGCAGATCTCTCCAAAGGAAGCTACAAAGCTGGTTGCTGACGATGTCGTTATGTCCTCAGTAAACGATTTGCATAGCATGCATGTGGAGAGTTCGTCATCGTCACCGCTCTCCAATGCCGAGATGAACGAAGATGAGGCTGAAGACAATGACAAGTAAGATGTCATCATAATTAACCAATAAGAAGACATAGTAATGCTTTCCCTTTTAAGAACAAATGCGAATTCCGGCAAAATTAATGCAGACGACCTGGGACTGCTCTGTGATCTGTTCTATCTCCCATTCGAGCACGGCAGTCGTGGTTTAAAACTGCTGAGTGAGTTCAATTGGCTGAAAAGCAATGCTAATGTTCTGCTTCATGAGCGCAGCAGCGGCGATGCTAATAATGGAACGACTGCTGCCAAACCGGAAGTGACGGAGTGGTTGCAGCGGGCCGAACATTTTTCCACACTATGCGGCAACGTTCAGACCTTGCTAGTCAAGATTGCCGGTTGTGACAACAAGGAAATATGTCACGATCTGTATGCCTATGTGTGGGACATTTCAGGTGCATTGTCGCTTCTTAACGGCTACGTAAAATGGCTAGCTCTGGCACAGTTTCCACCTAACATGTGCTCCTACACGCATGGCAGCTATACGTGTAAGTATATATATCCAATAATTGGGCATTATGGAATTACAAATGATGGTCGATCATTTTTGTAGGGTTCAGCAAAGGCTGGAAAGAAGCTTTTATGTCTGGTGATCAGGAGCCATGGGTGTTTCGTGGCGGTCTCACAGCCGACTTGCAGCGTCTAATGCCCGTCGATTCGGGCAATGATTTGTTCGTTTACAAATTGCCAGAGCAGCCCACCACCAACTATTATCTGCTGAGGCCTTTTATGCCCGCTGATGAGCAGCATGTCTATAGAATCTGCACGCGCACATATCTGGACTATCATAACGAAAACGATCTGGAGATACCGGCTGATGTGGCAAACATAATAGCGGACAGCGAGGTGGGCGCATATATAACGCTGAATCCGGAGTTATGTATCGTAGCCTACGACGAGTTCAACACAATTGTCGGCTATGCCTGCGCGTCCTTGGATGTAAGCATATTCCAACGCAATCTCGATGTATGCTGGCTTCCCGAAATGCGTGAAAAGTATCCAAAATCTTTGTTGGAAACTGAAGGCAATGCGGACGAGGGTTTTCAAAAACGTACGGAGTTTCTGTCGCATTTTTTGGAAAAGTTTCATAACAACTGCACCACAAAGGCAAGTCCTGCCGACGTAATTGGCTCTTTTCCGGCTATATTAACCGCCGCAACATTGCCAGATGCCGAACATAGGGACAACGGCATTTCTAAGCGTCTATTGACCGTTCTTTTGGCCGCTCTGCGTGCCAACGGTTGCTTTGGTGTGCACGTCTGTGTGGCTGAGAAGGACACAGAGAAGGTGGCTTTCTATTCCAGACTGGGATTTGCTGAGATATATCGTGATGGTTCCGATAACTTGATATACTTTGGACGTCGCTTCTAGCAGCCGCGGCACAGGACTCGTATAATCCTGGCCAGGCCGCATGCTCAGCATCGTAGTTTGGCAGAAAGACCAACTATCACTGCCCAAAAAAATGATTCTATTTTTTACAACGTTCCTTAATACATTGGCACTGCGCACGCTTCTCGTCCTTGGCGCACTTCTCTCGTATTTTATTTTGTATTGTCGTGGATATTTTTATACTTTCGTAGTATTGACAAGCCATCTTGTGTGTACGCAGAAATACGTATGCCGGCTTTCTCCAATTCTTAGCATGTATGTCACTAATTTAAGCAGTTTTTCTCAGCACTGTAAGTTGCATTCTTGAATCGGAAAACAATAAAAAAAATACATAATCAACAATATGGATTGACTTTATATTATTTCTCACTATTCTGGCGGCCTTGCTTGCTTAGATCATAAAACCACACTGTATTCACGCCATCCTCGATGGTGCGTTCCGGCTGTAGATGAGGCATTGGGAACCGGCAGGCAATTACTTTTGCATTGTGTTGACACTCTGAGATCAACTTGTGCTCCAAATCTTTCATCATTTGCTCGACTCCGAATATGACGACATAGTTGTAATCTTTAATGCTGAATTTCCAGAGGTCCCGGCGGAAGAAGCGCGTCTGTTTCCTTACACCTTGGCGTAGTGCGGACAGTCGGGAATAGTAAACCAACCAAGGATTTAGCTCCACTCCATCAGTTTGGAGCGCATTTGCGTGCTGCGCTGCGGCTACAAGGATTACATAAGTGAAAGGCGATTTAAATTGGATATCCATTCCACTTACAAACTACAATGCGACCGTCTCCAGAGCCTATATCCAATAGCCTTCCTCTTGCAGTTTTTGGCAGGAAGGTCAGTACATTGCTGATTTGTTCTGTTGTGGCAGGAACATAGGGCAGGCAGATCCTTCGAAAGGCGGGAGCCACAAATGACGCGCATACTATAGATAGTCCAACGCCCACGCCGCCTGTTGCCGCTATTAGGAGCTTGGCACCTGTGGACATACGCGCTGGCTTTTTTTGTACGACGGATTCATTCAATAGTTCCATGATTTGTTTACTTTTATACCATAGAATATACTTTTTTAAAGAGAGAAAGTTGGCAGCACTAAGGTAGGGCTACAACAATACCGGCAATTTTAGCAGGAAAGCATTTGAGTCCAATTCAATCTGTTCCCCTTGCAAAGGGTATAATACCCCATCCATATAAATTTTAAATATGTGGAGTACAGTATCCTCTAGCATATATAAATAAACACAACAACTGAGGAGCGACTGAGCAGCTGTTTGGGCAGTGCTAGAAAATGCTGCTTATTGCCTTGGCATCGAACTAGATTCCACTATCGATACCGCGCATTTGTGCTGCCATTTGGCAACACTTTTTTCAGTCGCAGCTTTTATGTGTGCGTGCGCGTACCCTTTTACAAATTCGACTAGTTTTTCGTGTGTTTTTCGTTGTAAACTAGACATTAATTTACAAACTAGTCGAATTGCGTTTTACTAGAGTGTCAGGCATCGAGTTAAGTGTAGAGTTCGTGTGTGCCGTTTGCGAATTTGCGTAAACGGGTAAAAATGGCCAACGTAAGGGACAGCGACACATCACTATGGCTGCATAATAAACTGGGAACATCAAACGATTCGTGGATAAATGGTTCAATATGCTCGCAATTAAACAAGGAGGTTTTGCGCAACATCAAAGAATGTTTCCCCGATTTGCAAACACAAGTAAAACTAAAATTGCTCCTCAGTTTTCTGCATATTCCGCGCCGTCTGGTGGAAGAGGTAAATCGTTGGTGTAAAATGTGGAAAAAAGTACACCAACACTGGCACGCACCTACACGTACACACATACACGCATGGCTTTACACTAATGCACTTGCTGGTGCCCTGCGTTGGTGAAATAACACGAATTGCATGCTCGTATTTCATGAAATGCCAGGAAATTTGTTAACGTCCGTGAAATGCAAAAAGAGTAAATAGTACGAAGTCTAATTGTGAACATTTTGGGTGTCATTGGATACAGAATTGTGGTGATATTTTGTGGTTGTATTAATATGAAAAGTTTCCCGCCACTTCTGCTTGAGTGATGTGTGTAAATGTTTGTGTGCGTGCGTGTGTTTATTAGTGTAGTGTTGGTGTTGTTTGTGGGTGTAGCGGGCGGTCACGACCATAACTACAACAGAAATTTTGTTGAATACACGCCTCAACAATATAATTTGTAAATTGTTTCAATTTTGATCTGATTGATAATGATTGCATTTCATACTTCGCAGTGGAAAAGCGAGCTGGAGGAGGTAATCGAAGTGGCCGGCCTAGATTCGGAATTGTGGGTTTCTATGTTGGCAGAGACCATGAAAACATTTCCAGCGACCAGTTCGCTAAACACAGAAATTTCAGACTACGAAGACACACGGCCTATATTTACAGAGATGGTCAATGATCTGCGTAAATTGGTCAACAAGCATTCCGATCTGGGCATGCTGCCGCTCGAGTGTCAATATTTAAACAAAAATGCGCTGATCTCAGTGGTAAGTATATAATACATTTGTTAATGAATCTATCATCTGACTTCCCTTTTGTCAACAGGTGGGTCAACAACCGGCTCCCGTTAAACATTTCACGTTGAAGCGCAAGCCGAAGAGTGCACAGTTGCGCACGGAGCTGCTGCATAAATCAGCCGACGCACAGTCCTCGTTAAAGAAGTCTTCGGCACCGACAATACCATTGCGCTCACGTGGCATGCCACGCAAAATGACCGACACAACCCCACTAAAAGGAATACCATCGCGCATGCCCACCACTGGATTTCGCTCTCCCAATGTGCCTGGCAACCAGCAGCGGCCCAATGTCAGTCGCACACCTGCCGGTCGCAAAGATGGCGGTATTAAGCTGATCGAATTCACGGAGCAACCCCTGGGCTATGCAGCGGCCAAGAAGCGTAAGCGTGAACAACAGTTGGAGGAGCAGCAGAAGAAGCAGGAGCAGAAGCAACAAGCTGCGGCTGCAGCGGCAGCAGCGGCAGCTGCAACCACCACTGATGAAGCAGCGCCCATGGATGTAGTGGCGATTGCCAGTGGTGGCGAGACTCCCACAACACCCACATCGGCTAACAATACCTTTGAAATTAAAACTGAACCGCAACTCAATCAAAGCAGTGGTAGTCTGGATGAGACAACCGATGACTTCAAGACACCGGAATTGGCCAACAAAACGCTACAAAGCGAGCCAGCGACTCCGGAGTATGCGGCCACACTTACCTTCGCACAGGCCACCACGCCCACTACAACGCAGACTAAAACGCAGGGAGGTAAGCTGAAGTCACCAACGACGCCCAAGTCGAAGCTCAACAGCAACAGCTTCAATCATACGCCCAAGCGCATTAAACAGGAGATTGAGATCAAGAGCGAGGAAATCATTGTGCCCGCCAACATAAAAGTGGAAAAATTGGACCCCACACCGACCCAACCGACGCTCATTTCGACGTTGCCGGCTCAGCCGCAGCAACCGCAACGTGTCATAATACAACAACAGCCCGCCCAGCGCACCCCACACATCCTGATCCGTGCCTCACCGCAAAAACGTCAGGCCAACAACGCTGTGGCGACCACCACCGTCGGCAATACGACCATAAAAATGGAGAAGTTGGATATAAAGCCCATGCTGCGTACCACAACAACAACAGCAACAACATCTGCAGCGTCGACAACAACAACCATACTCACGCCCCAGCAGTTGCGACAGGCGGCCAGTCCGCTGGCCAATTTGCCCAACAATATATCTGTGAAGATAACATCGGCCAAAGCTAAAGCAGCGGCAGCAGTTGCTGCGGCAGGCAGCAGTCAAGCGCAACAGGTCACAACACAACAGCAACAACAACAGCAGTCAATACTGATAAACAGCTCGACACCTGTTATACTAGCCTCCTCCCCTAGTAGTCAGAGTGTGCGTACGGTAAGCATTCTCTATACTCTCCATATTCTCGAAATACCATTTAAAACGTCTTCTTCTATTCCAGAAACCGCTGCCCACTACGGCCACCACAACCATACCAACGCAAGCGATAAAAACTATGCCGTTAAGTCAGCTAAAGACGGCGGCCAACAGTGGACCTGTAATAATCTCACAAACCATTATTCAACCGGCAAAGCGCTCACAGCAGCAGCAGGCAGCGAGTTCCAGTGCTGCTGCCGCAGCTACCTCTCAGCAATTGCAGCAGCAACAACAACAGCAACAGCAGTTGGCAACATCGCAGCCACAGCAGACGCAGACTCAGTATATACTGCAACCTGGCCCGCCCACGTTACCAACACTCACATCCTTCACGCAGACGCGTGCGACGCCGCAGACAACAACGCTCTATCAAACGGCAGCAGGCAGCAGCAATGCGCAGACGCCTACAAAGATACTGCTGAAGACATCGGGCACATCTGGTGTCGTAATGACACCATTGCGCCAGCAACAACAGCAACAGCAAACCACAGTCGTGTCCAGCAACCCGCCGCCACTGGTGGCCACATCAGCCGCTGTGGGCTCCCAGCAAACACTAAACATTCAAAATGTGCAGTTGCCCAATAGGCCGGTGACCATACAACCGGCCTCGCAAGCCGCGCAGCAGCAGCATCTGCAGGCACAGTTGCAGCATCACCATCCGCAACACACCATTGTGGCGAACACAACGGCCACACAGCAGCCGAAGCTATCGCAGGTCATCATGCAGCCGCAAGGCATTGCCGGAGCAGGCGGCGCTGCCACTCTAAATGTGTCGCCGACGGCAAACAAGAACAAGACTATTATACTCACACAGAAGGGTCTCATATTGCGAAATATTAGCGGGGACATGTACCAGCCGATACCCATTAGTAATGTAGGTGGTCTGCAGAGTCTGGGCGCGGGCACTACGCTCATGACGACTACGGCGGCTGGACCGCCCAGTCTAGTAAAAACCACGCCCTCGACAAGTGTGCAGCCCAGTGTGCAGACAATTCAGCTCCAGCAACCGACAACTAAGCAGCTGCTTCCAACACTGATACCGACAAACCCGCTGGGCGGTCAGCATGTCATCGTTCAACAACAGGCGCCAACCAGTGTCATTGGCAATGTGAGTAATGCCCGACTACTAAATATTCTTAGAATCAAAACACACCCTTCAGTGAGGACTGTCTCGTCGTAAAATTGTTAAACATTCCAATAATTTGGCTATTAATTTCGGACAAAGCGCATTTTGCTACAAATGAAAGCATAACTAAGCAAAACCACTAACATTTCCTTTTTCTTGCAGTCCAATCAGCAAACTATAATACGGCCAATGATGGGAAATGTTGGTCTAACACTGATCCAAAGACCTGGACAGCAACCCCAATTAGTGCAGGTAGCACCAAACAGCACACAGCGGACGATTATAACACAGACATCAGCTCCACAGCAACAGGCGCGTCAACAGCAGATTTTGGTGCAGCATAAGCCGGCAGTGCAGCAGCGTTTGGTGACCTCGACGAGCAATACGGGCACCCAGCAAATTCAGCTGCAGCAACAGCCGTCGCAGCAGCAGCAGCAACAAGGCAACAATCCAAGCATTTCGCGTACGGTTCAAGTTCAAGTCCAGACCCATCAGCCCGCAGCTCAGCAACAAACGCAGCAGGCACCGCAGCGCAAAGGACTTTCGCTATCGGTTTGTGCACACCAAAGTTATTCTCTTTATGGTATACTTAAAATATTATTTATGTATATTGTTTTTAGAACGAGCACGTACATAAGGCGCATGAGATGTTCCGCAAAGCGAATCGTGTTTCGCGGCCTGACAAGGCATTGATTCTTGGCTTCATGGCGGGCTTGCGCGAGAATCCACGTCCCAATAGCGAAAATGTATTGGTCATTAAATTGGGCGAAACTGAGGTGAGTAATCGAATCAGGAAATGAAATATATAGAAATAATATACCTTATACATATTCGAACTAAATTGGAATGAAATCAAATCAGCACTTATATTGTTTTTAATGCATACATTTTATTGTTTTCATTATTAAAGGAAAAAGTGGCACAGGAGGATGGCAATACGGCGCTCTGTCTTGTGGAATCCCACATACGTCTGGACTACAACACAGGCGAGTGGAAGACATTCCAGAACTATAGACTGTTGGATCAGAGTGCCGCATCGTAGTCCTCGAGGATCATACGCATAGTGCGGAGCAGCAACGGCAAATAGCTGTAGATTGCAAAACGCTAAGCGCACTCGCATGGCTGGGGACTCGAATTCATGTGCTCTAAGCTGCTCTTTCTGTGCTTCAGCTTTAGCTTTAGCATCGGTTTTGTCGCTTATCGTGTTGCGTTTGTCATTTCGTTGCTGCACTTTATCGTTTGTACGTTCAACGTTACAATTGTAAAAGCACCTAGCCATCAAGCAGAGGCGCCGCTTATCAGGCTTATCCCCCAGCAAAAACTAAGAAAAACGGAAAAAAGGGAAATATGAAAAAAAAACAACAACAGAATAATACGATTTAAAGTAATTAACGTAAATTAGCTGTACAGTTGTTAGAATATAGTAAATGCTAGCCCATACTTTTTAGAAAACATACCGCAAACACACACACATATACAAATACACTTGCGCACGCGCCGAAGCATTCACCTTTGTTTTTGCTGATTAGCCGCTCGACTGGTGAGCAGATGACGACAGCGTGGAACTGGCGGCGTGACATGAGAAATGACTTGGTCCGCTCGCTGATCAGGAACGTTCATTTTAAATACAAACACACTCACACACACACAGCACACCCTTTCATATACATACACACCCATCCCATCCATATATAAACATAATATGTATTTAGAATTATGTAATTAGCCGCCAAGTTAAAAATGTATAATTTAGTCTAAAGCATAAACTTTAACGACAAAAAAGAAAAACTGAAAAAAGAACAAAAAGAGCGCTATTATTGAAAAAAAAAAAAAAACATTAATTGTAAATCAAGAATGGCAGCAAAAGTATCTTGAAACTTGCAACTTGGAATGTGTAATAGACTAGAATAAAACTACAATATTTATGGCTTTAATGTTTAAAACCAAACGTCTACGACTCTAATTCTGTTTGAATGTCATGGAATGTAATAGCTATGCCGTATGCAGTGTGCGTTTATTTATTTGTTTATTCCATTTTTATGCAGTCAGCAGCAATCAGTAGAGACGAGTTTTCAATTTTCAATGATTTGTTTTTGCCCAACAATTGACAACGCTTTAATTATCGGTGATTGTTTTCTTTTATTTGCATTGCATGCTTACAACTAGTCAACATAAAGTTATGAATTCTTTTGATTTTCATTTGGTTGCACAATTAGTATAATGCAATTAATGGTAATGTGAATGTAATGCGTAATACTAATGCCTAAATACTACAAGATATCCTACATGCATATTAAAAATACAATACAGGTACGGCCTAAATTCGCTGAAAACGCTGAGCGTTCAAAATTTTCGCTCCGACGGGCTCTCCTTACTGGTGGCCCACCTCCTTCCAGTGTACGATCGCACGCTGTTCATCGGGAGCATCGCTAAAAGGCCGGGAGCCATCCGAATAGACGTACTGATTCACCTGGTAGTCCAGCAGGGTCTTATAGTGGTAGACATCGTTGCCCAATTGCTGGGTCAGGGGGCTGGTGTTGGTGGTGAAGATGCCGGCAAACTGTTTTTCCCGCGCCACCCTCAACACCTCGTGTTCCATAAAGTGCATGCAGGCAATGTTTTCGCGCGGATTCAGTTCATCGGCCGTGCCCATCATAAAGGAGTGCAGTATTTGATTCAGACCCTTGGGCAAATAGTTGTCGCTGTGGAGAGTGCGGATTGAAGAATATAATTGTAGTGTGTAATGTATATTCTTTATGGTTCAGGACTTACCGTATGGGTCCCTCGCAGAACTCCAGAAACTCGAAAACAATCAACAGCTTCGATTTGATTTCCACCTCAGGCTCGTTACGCGCGTCGAAATTAAGCGCCGTGCCAATAATACGATCCGTGTTACGATCATAGACCACAAAGCTAAGGTCGCGCTCCACTAAATCTTTCCAGATGTCCTAAACAAATCAATTGAATAACTAAGTTAGTATCATAGTAAAAATAAATAAATATTTAATAATCGAATGCAGGGGCGTAGGCAGCTTTTTCCAAAGGGGGGCGGCCAAAGAATTTAAATTTTGAATTAACAATGCACGATGCGTTTAAAATAATAAGTGATGCAAATTTTAACAAATTCAACTTAGTGCCATTTTAAGGCGAAATAAGTAGTTCTCCCCCCTGCCTACGCCCTTGATCGAATGCAATGAACCATTGGAAAGGAAATTGAATATGCAATAACCTTCTGAATTTCAAAATAATGAACAATTGAAATCACTCTAAGACTGATTTATGGGTTCAGTTCGCATAAGACCATCAATTTAAATGCACTTTTGAGAATCGAACACGCTTATCATAACAAAGCAGCTCTAAAGAATGGTAGGGGCTATATGTTGTTCCGCGTCTCTCTTTGGTTCGAAGTCTATTGTTAAGGTTAAAAGTTTGCTTACGTTCAGAATGTCGCTGTAGTCGCTGCGCAATACGCCCGGCTTGAGCCACTGCTCCAGATCAGCCTTGTTGTAAAAGCTGTCTACAATGATGCTATAGACGGATATATGTACATGCATATTAATAAATTGTTAAAATTTTAAGATAAGATTCTCTAAGATACTCACTCAATAACTGCCTGTCTGTGCTCAAGACGCAATGGTACTGACTCCATTTTCAAATGGGGACAAGCATTGAGCCACTCCTCCTCCAGCTGTACAACTTCACGGTTGGTCGCCATGCGTTCGATGATCTCCCCGAGATTCTTTGCCGCGATGAACTCGGATATGCCAATGTTGTAGCCCTTCTCGCGCAACAGCGTTACGGTGAATATAGAGTTGAGGGAGTTGCCGCCCAATTCATAAAAGTTGCTTTGCGGCGCGAGTGTGGCGCGAGTCGAACGTCCAATTACGCCGCCCACCGTCTCGAATAGATCGCGTGCCGTCAGCTTTAGCTTTTCCGGCACTTGGGAGTAGTCAAAGTCCAAGACAATGCTTGAGTCGCCCTCGTTATTGTTGGCCGTCTCGTAGCTTTTGAGCAGTGCCTGACGATCGACCTTGCCATTGACCAGCAGCGGTACATGCTCCACAATAACCACCTGTGGTGCCATATAGTCGGCCAGTTTGTCTTTGAGACGTGCCTCCAGCTGGAGCTCCGTGACCACGGGTGCATCGTCACGCATCTTCACGAAGGCCAGAATCGCCTGATCAACGTGTCCGGCATGATAGCAGAGCACAATGGCTTTCTCAACCAGCGGCAGCTCGGCTACGTTCTTCTCGACCTCGGACAGATCGACGCGATGACCGCGAATCTTGATTTGCGAGTCTGTGCGGCCTTCATACATGATGTTGCCGTTCTTGAGCGAGCCATAGTCGCCGGTGCGATAAAGACGAGCATACTCTATAAGATAATTTATTTAAAGAGAATTTTGGAAGGGGCTGGGGTTAGGCTTACTTTTCTCGACGGCCAGTGGATTTTCTAAAAACCGTTCGGGATCTCGTCCATTCACATAGCCAGCGGCCAAGTTGAGGCCTGAAGCAAAGATCTCGCCAATTTCTCCATTCTTCACGGGTCTGTAGTCAGTGTCAAGCAAGTAGATAACGGTGTTCGAGACAGGTATGCCTAGGGGAGACCATTAGAAGTATTACATTTAAATGATGTCGTTGTCATTGATAAGATCTTAATCACGGCGTGGTTATTCCTTAATTTTAACCAATGATAGACTAAATTAAAACCACCTGCTCTTAATCGGTTATCGGCTTGATAACTTTTCCAAGTACAGTGAAAACTCTCTTGGCCGGACACTCACGGTCGGCCAATTTTTGTCCGCCCAAAGGGAGTGCCCGCTCGAATGTTTTAGAAAAAGTGTCCGCCGAAGAGGGTGTCCGGATAAAAGAGGTGTCCATTAAGGGAGTTTTCACTATACTTATATTGAAAGTAGCCCGGTTTCTGATCTATCCTGGAAGTCTTAAATATTTAATTAATAGGTTCCTTTCAATTCATTCGGATAAATGCCGCAGACTATCTTAAATACATTTATAGATTATCTCTAGAAAATCAATTAGTTAATCTTTACCGCTTTATCTGCAGTTGCCCTTTCTATTGTTGTTACTCTCTTAAACTTTGTCTCTTCTAAAATTTGTAAGTACGAACCCAAATAGACCCTAGTACAACACTCACCAATAGGCACATTTTCGTAGAGACTCAGCTGCTTCTTGCTCTCGCAGGTGAAATAGGTGACATCGCCCATCACCTCGGTGGAGCCATAGAAATTATAGAGGCGATGCACTCCCTCGTCGAAGTAATCAAAGAAGCTGCTGGCCAGCGGCACAGCTAGGGGCTCACCGGAGCATACCCAGATCTGGAGATTGTAGAGCAGTTTCTGGGCTGCTCCGCCGCCTTCCATTTTCAAATACATTAGCAAGGAGCGCAGGAGTGTCGGCACCAACACCAAACGTCTGATCTTATACTTCTCCAGGAGCGCTACCAAGCGTTCTGGATCCTTGGTCACCGCTTTAGGCACCACCAGAATGGCCAGACCGCACATAAGGGGACCCCAGAGCTCGGCAATGGAGTCTACAAAGGTCAGAGCCGTCTTGAACACACCAACTGTTTCGCTGGCAGTGTACGGAAATGTTGCCCACTGCCATTGGAGGCGGTTCAGAATGTTTTCATGTGGAAGGCGCACCCCCTTCGGCACACCAGTGGAGCCAGAGGTGTACAGAACAATGGCGATGTGATCGTTGCCGCCACGCAGCATTTCCTCCGACAACAGATTGGCGTTGCTCAGCTGCAGGGACTTGGCATAAAGCTCCGTAAGCGAGAGCGTGGGTGTGCCTTGAAAGCGTCCGGCGTCAATGTCGTCGTCGCGCAGCACCAGAGTGGGTCTGGACTCCATCAGGATGTGGTGAATACGGTTCGCTGGGAAGCTGGGATCAATGGGCAAATAGGCGCCGCCCGCCTTCCAAATGGCCAGCAGAGTGGTGACCAAACCATCCGAAGGCTGCATGCACACCGCCACAATGAAGTCACCATCATGGTTGGGCTGCAGGAATCGTCCATGGGTCTCAGCGACAAGCAATCGCGCCGCACGATTGGCTCGCTCATTCATTTGCCGATAGCTGCTCTGACGCAGCTGGGATGTCTGATCGTTATAGATGAGAGCCACCTTATCCGCATGACGTAGTTGTTGCTCCTCGTAGATGCGATGCAGGGCGCGCGGCACAAAATCCTGTTGCTGTCCCTTCACAATCGACAATTGCGGCAATGAACCCATATTGATCTTGTGTTGATCTGTAATTGGGTAGAGAAATGATAATAGAGCTTTATTAATATGTTCGATGTTCAGTTGATTCTCGCAACTTAACATAACTGGCAGTAGAATGAAGCTTTCTAGGAACAAGAAAAGAATGCTAAAGTCGAGCAAGCTCAACTCTTAAATACCCTGTACCTCCCAAAAAGGAAAAAATAAAAAAAGCAGCGAGCAGCGATTTTATTTATGGCTATAACTTTCTTCAGCATGGACCTTGGCACACGGACACATAAGCACTAACTGGATGTAACTACCAAAATTGATTTCAAAATTCCAAGAGTTACGGAAGTTATAAAAAAACACGAATTGCGGGGGAGTGGGGGAGTGTATCAGAATAAAAAAAATAAACTTGACCTGCCTAGGGCTTATGAGAATCTGGATACCGAGTTTGGTTATTTTAGCTCTTGTACCTTCTGAGATCCTTGCGCTCATACAGACGGATGGACAGACGGACGGACGGACGGACATGGCTATATCGACTCGGCTTGTCACCCTGATCAAGTATATATATACTTTTCCTGGTCTGCCACTCTCCTTCTGTGTGTTACATACATTCGCACAAAACTAGTATAGCCTTTCACCCTTTGGGTACAGGCTATAAAAATATATACATATAACCATCTGCGAAGCAATCCCCATGCATTTTTCACTCTTATCTATTTATCCCTTCCTCTCATTTCGAATTAATTACACGTTTTTAAATCGATCAGTCACTGCTTTAACTAGTCAATGCCCAGCTGGTCTCGTCGATTTGCATAGACACCAGATCGCATTTACTTATTTAAATTGTGGACTGTGTGGGTCGACACGTGCCAGGATTGACATGGACTGGAACAATCTTATCAATCTGTGTGGTAATAATTGAAATGCATTCAACTCTGATTTATATGACAGCTAATAGCTATAGTAACTATGTGAAATATAATTATTATGTATTACAAATTAAAAAGTTTCCTCTTAATTTGCATATGCAAGTGTTATTTATTTGGTTTTCAATTTACATAAATGTAAACAAATAATAATGATAGTGATAAACAAATAGTTTTTTAATTGAAAAACTCGAGGCCATGAAATGAATTAAAATCAACGCAGAAATTATATAGTATATAGAAAATTTTAAATGCAGAACATCGACTAGAAAGGCTGCCAAATATCAAAAATAAGGATATGGTGAAGTTATAAAAATTGAAAAAAAATCTTTTCTTAACTCTGCTTAGACGCTGGAGCAATGATTCAGAACGGGTTGATTGTAAATTAAATATGAATATTTTTCAGTCAGTTTCAGGCTATATTTTATCGTATATCTCTTGTCTAAATCAAGACAGCAAAAACTGAAAAATCTAGGATTGAACATCTTGAAACTAAAAATTTTATTGTAAATTAAATATTAATATTTTCCAATCAGCTTCAGGCTATATTTCATATAATATATCTTGTCTAAATCAAGACAGTAATTATTTAAACAACAACTGAAAAAATCAAGGATTGATCTAAAAACTAAGAATGCAAAAGTGCAGCAGTATTTAAGGCTTGAATTTTACAAAAATAAAATGTAGTTAAATTTTTGAATTCGGCAAAATGAAATGGCGCTTTATTTTTGATTCCCTTTCACTTTTCCTCACCGATTGGCTTTTTAAGTTAAACAATCGTTGATATAAAGGCTTATATTATTAAGTATTATAACATTATTTTAATGAATTTAATTAGCAATCTTTTATTTTTTAAAACTATGCCAAAGCCGCCAATAAAATGAATTCGATTATTATATGTATTGAGTCAAGTTGCTGTGGAATTAGCAACACTTGAGTTGCCGCCAACACCTCTTAATTGCAATTAATATAAGACACATAAATATGCTTGCATGTAAACGTGAATCTCAAGCTGCTGAAATCTCTGTAAGCCTTATTTAGTTGTCGGCTTTATTTAGGTTTTTCAAGCTAGCCCCGTCTTAGCTTCATTTTCAAGACACTGAAGCCAAGTTAGTGCCATTAAATAATCAACTTCTGGTGCCCGATTTCAATGCCGTGCCTCGTCGTAATGCCAAGGTATACTTCACAAACACTCCCCACCACTCCCCAGCTGGCAAAGAGCTAAACAGAGAGGCGGCAATTAAGTGTATTAGTCGGCCTTAGTTTTTATCATTTCAATTTAAAAATTCTATAAAACGTTTTCGTTGTCGTTGTCGCTAATTTGCAAGCATATATAATACTATATATATATATATTCGTATACAAATATATTCAGTCAGCGGGCAGTCATCAGTCAGGCAATTAGAGCTAGCCTTGTAGGGTGTCCAGGAAGCGGCTTTCAGCCACAAAACAAACGAGTGCAACACTTGGGCAGAGGCGACAACAACAGCAACAAAAACAATAGTGCACTGAGTACATTTTAATGGCATATTGTATTTGGGAAATGTTTTGTTTTTCTTTGAATTATTTATAATCAAATATAAGGCGGCAAGTCCGTCTTCCGCTTTCAATTTCTGTGGAAGTGGCAGCGAAGGCGCCCGCTGGCAAATTGTTGGTAATAATTGTTGTTGTTATTGCTGTTCCGATTCTGCCGCTGATTCTGAGAGACTGCCACAAGCAATAAACAAGTTTTACAAAATTGCGCAATTTTACAACCAAAATCTTGCGCATAACTCCATTGCGGGCCAACAATTTGTGGCCTCAACCCGAGTTGAAGTGGAAGTTGAATAAAGTTGGTTGGTTGGCTGCAAGTGGCTGAATTTTATTTATCTGACACACAAATGTGAACAAGTATGTGCAGTTTTTTTCAGAATTTGAACGGTTTATGAGGCGTATACGTAACGGCTGGCAGACAAATTCAATGCCTAGAGCATTCATTTCCCAAGCCCATATTACGTATACGCCGTGTGAGTCCAATTAGAAGTGCTTGCTGCTGTTTATACTTATATGCGATTACCATATGCTATATAAATATAGCAACAAATAGTATATAGTAAGGTATGATGAATACAATGCAACTGGCCCGTCTGTCTGTCTGGCTGTCTGTCTTTGTCATGCGCTAAAATGTTAAAGCCACAAAGACGGCAAAATTGCAACTTTACAAGTAACTCTACACTAAAAGCAAAGTGTTACTTCAAAATGCAATTACAAATTCAATTATTGCTGCCCGTTTCATGAGCATTTACTCGAGTCTTTCGAAACAATTTAAATAAGGAAATATTCCTACATTTTTTATAGTTGAGAGTGACAACTAAACATAAATAAAAATAATATAAAATGCACAGATAAAGCAAAAGCTAAATCGATTTTGTGGAAAATAAAAAAGGGTCATATTTTCTACAATCAAGCAATTTTAGTCTAGTGTTAATTATAGTTTCATAAACCTGTATAAATATGGCCGTTTGGCAATTAATATTCTCCCGTGTCGGATTCGTTTTTAAATATTTTTGTCATTTTTATAGGCTTTTTTATTTCCTTAGTTTTAATTAGTTTAACTTCTCCATTGTATTGATTTTTTATTTGTTTTCTTTTTTCCTTTACATCGACTGCCTTGTTTGTCGATGATATAAATAAATAAAAAATATGCATATTTCTAAGGCACTTTTTTAAATCCGCATAAAATAGCCAATTTTTTTTGGCTTAAAAATAAATTTGGGCATTTAAAGAAGCTTTTTAAACTCGCTATTAGGTTTTACATATTATTAATTTTTTTTAACTCAATAATTTTACTTGCTCTGACACATTTATCAAACTTTTTAGTAATTTATTTTAGCTTTCCTTTTTCATAGGCAAACAGCTTTAAATAATTTAAGATAATAATCGCTGCTTATAAGTACCATGCCATCAGATTAAAGCAGTTGACTGACGCATTTATTACACAAGCAGTGGTAAGCAGTTTATGTGTATTGCGGCATGCTGCTCAGCAACTGCTTACATTTATTATTCATTAAACTTTACTTTCATTTAATTAAAAAAATGTAATGTTTAATAACATATTTTGAAGCAATACAACAATTTTCTTTAAAGTTAGGCTCAGGATTAGTGGATAGATAGAAGGTCGTAACTAGCAATATCAGTAATGAATTTTCTCTTACACGTATAGGAAGCTTGCATAATACAGCTAATTCTGTTTTTACACGGTAGATTGGTTCCCGAAAAAGACGTGAAAAAAAGACATTGATCGTATGAAAAAATAGTTGATTGATTCCTTATCTCTAAAACTGATTAAAATCAGTGAAAAAACAACGATTTATGTTTATTTTATTAAATCACATATACTATAGTTATATATGTGCTGCTGGCCACTAGAAAACAAAGATTATGGAAAAAAGATGGCTTCCTTATCTCTAAAGAAATACATATATATGTAATTTTTGATTTTCAAACCGGGTTATATTAAAATCGTGTAAAAAAAGACCGTGTAAAACAGAATTGGGTGTATTTATTTTGTATTACACCTAATTCTGTTTTTACACGGTACATTGGTTCCAAAAACAACCGTCTAAGAAAGACATTAATCATATGCAAAAAAAGTTGATTGGTTCCTTATTTCTAAAGACATATATGCGATTTTTTTGATTTTCAAACCGTGTTATATCAAAATCGTGTAAAAAAATATCGTGTAAAAACAGAATTGGGTGTATTTATTTTGTGTTATTTTGAATCGTGCTAAATAGAGTAAAGTGGAGTAACCATACATAAAATGTTTAATTTTCAAACCGTGTAAAAGGTGAATTAGGTCTGCATTTATCGTTTGCTGCCAGTTGAAATGCATTTCATTTTCTGTCAGTGTACACCTTTGTAGGTGCCACATGTATGAGTGTGTGTGTGTGTGTGTGTGTGTTGCTGGACAGATCTGTGGCCATTGTTATGGCAAGTGTGGCGCGGTCAAGTGCATTCATTCTTAAGTCGCGCTCATTCTCGGCCGCACTTTGTTTTCACATCATCGATTTAATGTACCGCGTCCCATCGCATCCGCAGCCCCTTTGTTCACCTTCGCTGCCTCCGTTGATGAGGTGAAATCTTCATGGGTGCTATGAATTGTTTTTCCATTCGGTTCTATTATTTTTCAAATACATAAGCATACTATGTGTATATATTTTGCAGTTCTGCGCGATTGAAAAACACTTAAACGCTGCCTATAACAATAATTTTCCGTTCAAGGTTAAGTTTTTCATTATTTATTATTTTCGTTTCTTTTTTAGATTGTCTTCGGTGACTTTTCAAGCTTTTGGAAAATCGTCCATAATTATCTGTGACTGAGCATTTACGACCAATACGGCGCGGTACGTGTAATTTACATAATTATCCACAAGGTGTTGTTTGGAGTGTGTCTGAAGACCAACAACACCGTCTAAGGTCGTCATTCAAACAGAAGCGGCACAGGCCCCCCCTTTTGTTAAATAATCCATGCTGGGCAACAAGTTTCCGTTTTTTATTCTGTCTGTTACATTTCAAGAGTCTGTAACTAATTAGTTTGTTGACCAAAACTGTCGAATAATACAAATACTACCAGTAGTGCTCAGATTTTTCCTGATGCTGGGGAGCCAACAAGTGTATGTTTTTGTTGTTTTGCTCTGCCCGCTGATTTGCTTAATTGAGTAAAAAGTGCTTAATTTAAGTTGAACGAACACACACATTCGAGTACAAAATAAAAATATAGCAATGGGGGCCGCCACGAAGCATCAATCAGTTGTGTGTCTGAGAATGTATTTACGAGTATACATACAAGTATGTGCCTGTGTGTTTCAGTTCTGGAATTACACATTTTGTCGGCCACTGAATCGCTGAATTTCCGATTATGAGTCAATTGAATGACAAGTTGTGCGCGAAAAACCACACAGATTAGCAATTCTTCTGCATTAAAGCATTCTGCGTCAAACGATTTAACAAACCCAGTCTCAGTCTCAGTCTCAGGTTCAGATACAAATTCAGATTCTCGTAATCACATTGGTGTATATCCCCCATAATGAGGGCTCCAATTGCTCATGCCAGAGCAGCCGAATGTATCTATTAAAGCAATTAATATGACTTGCCACAGTCATAAATAATACACTTCGATACATCTGTGAACGTGCTTCTGCCATTGAAGCCGTTTGTATGATTGTGGATAGAAAACCGTATCTGTATATTTTGCATAAATTTACGATATGCAAATGCCACTCATAATTAATCGTTGCAGGCCCGTGTTGGCCGGCTGTACTCTCGATGTATGACTTAATTTTTAAGGCGCCCAAGCTCTGCCGAACGCAATTAAAAAGCTATCAAAATCGACACATTGTATTATGGATATTATGTATACAGTGCGCCATGTGTGAGACAAATTAAATGTCAAATGCTTGATATGTGTTAACATCATTTACAACGTTGTCGCTATGCTGCTCGAGCTGCTTAATAAGTATGTAGTATGTAGTAAGTCCAAGTTAAAACAAATTGCTCACAGTTTAAACTTTAAGTCAATGGCTCGCCTATTGCATGCTGTAAATGAAATCGATTTGTTATAACAATTCTCTATAAATAATGGGGTAATCATTGGAGACCGTAGCATGAGCATTGTGAGTTATTTGTTTATAGTCTGAAAATACCAAGTATTTGAAAAATTATCGAAGATATCAATATAATCTGCAAAGATTATAAAGATGACACTAATCGTTATGTGTTCAAAAGTTTGTCTGTATGAGCCGCGATGGCTTCTTAATGAAAAGTAGGGGATTAATCAAATTTAATAATAGTAAATTAAATGAATTTAATAAATTCTTTTGCTCAGACACATGCACATGAAGTTACCTGTACATTCAAATTATTCCCATACTTAAGATAAATTCAACTCAAATTTAATAATTGTAATTTAAATTAATTTAATAAATTCTTTTGTTCAGACACATGCACATTAATTTAACTCTACATTCCCATTATTCCAATACCTAAGAAAGTTTCCTTGTTATTATCTTTCGAAAGCGTAGTGCTTAAACATTGAATAACTAACGTTAAATCGTATTGTATAGGTTTTTCTTTGCAAGCACTGCTTCTATTTAATAAATTAATATCATGCCTAATAAAATTATAGAGCATTCGAAAGTCTACGCGCCCAAGCTGAGCAGACTTAATTGTTTTTATGAATATGTTGCCGAAGGCCCCTTGTTATGTGGTGTTATAAAATCTTAGAGGAACGTTGGCCGCCTTTAGAATTCATCTTAATTACATTTTTGTTGCAGGCAATCGTTTTTAAAACGCTGCCTAACCTTGCGATTTGTGCTTTTGCATTTCACATTAATTTACAAATACAAGCACATGAGTGTGTTTGTGTGTTGCAATTGCAATCAGTCGACTGACCGCTTTTATTTTTAAGTTAAACAATTCAAACCGATTTTACTTCCTTTGCAACGTCACGAAACTGGTTGACAGCAGCCGCGGCTGTTGAAATTCGAACAAAAGCAACACGTTCTGGGTTTATATTTTCGGCTTATATCGGTAAGTGCGTCCGACATAATGTGTTGATGGTTGATGGTTGACGGTTTATAAAAATAAATATGTTAATGTAGCTTTGTAACATTTACCCACTGACGACCTTTGCGGCGACCTTTTATCAACTTCCCTTTGCAGGCGAAACATTTTTCAAATGCTAATTAATATGTGTATAGATCGTAAATAATATTAAATGTACAACCAACGGCGACAATAGAATCAATATTATTTCCACTTTAGAACATGTAATAATATAAGTAGTTTACTTGTCAAACTCTTCTAACTATTATCATTATTTTTATTTTAATAAAATTTGAAGCTGTAGTTTTGGCGCGACAAAAACATTTTAAATTTAGAAAATGCTAGCGTTTTAAGATTTTGAATTTACTTATTAATATTTAAGCACTATCCCAAGTGCGATATGTTGTTTAATTTATGTTTTTTTGAAGCAGTTTTAAGCCAGAAATTATTTTGTAAATAAATAAGAATGTGTTATGACTTGGCATGACAAATTCGCTTTTCGAAAGAATAAAACTTGCAGTTATTCAAAAACTTCAAACTATTTTATAATATGTAGTGGTTTGACATTTTTAAAGGCGTTTCAAGTCGCAATAACCAAGCGTGCTGATTCAAATAAGCCATACCACAATTATATAACAATGCTTGGCTAACTGGAAAATGGCATTTAGTTCCAGTGAAACAATTTAGCAGAAAGATACGTAAATGCCTCTAAAAGAAAGTAAATTTTTAAAGTATTTTTTAATAACAGATATAACGAAATATTCATGCTTTATTAAATGGAAAACCAAAAGAATCATTTGATATGCAAGGTCTGGCTCGTCTATTATTTAATATCACACTTGAACATTGTCAGGTGATGCAATCCCACAGATGCTGTTTTAAATGTAATAATATATAATTAATAGCCAAATAGCAGTAATAATTGCCAGACGTGAGCTTACAATCAGCTATTGTCTAAGGAATTCCTAATATACATATCTAGCCCATAAATTTTTAAAGTCTGGACTCGCTGCACCATAAACGAATCAATTAAGTATATTATGGCTATTTACTTTGTTGTAGAAAAAATGTAGAAAATACGTTTTCAATATTCAAATTTAATTGGCGCACGACAATAAAAGGCGAATAAATGTCACTGTTTTATTTATTAATACGTACTTTTAATAAAAAACTTATCACACCTTCTGTAGAGATGTGGATTTTAATGGCAATTTAAAAATGTCGTCCGCTTTCTCTTTGTTTTTAGTATTTTTGTTGTTGTTGTTGTTATTTTATACACGTTCTCGTTTTCGTCCTTTTGAGGAAACTTGTTTGTTGTTCTCGAAAATTAATGAATTTTTATTTTAAATACGACTATTTTTTTTTTTTGCTCACTGCACTGCAATTCACTGTGTATGTATGTGTGTGTGTGTGTGACGGCTAGTCAAGAGATTTCCAAAAACGCTTTTGCAGTCAAAACTTGAACGTACTCGTACTAACCAGCGTTCGCAAACTAATCAGAACCCCAGCGGACGACTAACTTTTATATCCGACCGCGGAGAACGACGCGACGGTCAGCTTTCGACGACGAATGTCGACGTCGCGTTGCGTCGGCGCTTTTTGCTCTTGTTCGTGAAACCTGTTCTTCCTCTTACACACAGTAAAGCAGTTGTGTTGTGTTGCGTTGTGTGTGCGTCTCCCCTCCTCCGCCCCCTCGTTATAGTGTTAGTTGGTAAAGCAGCGCGAGTTCAGTGACGTAGGAAATGACATGAAATTCCTGCCATCGCCATCAAGTCGTCGCTAATCAAAAGCCCAAACAGAGATAGACTGAGAGAGTATCTGCAAGCTGCAGATCCAAAAGTCGATGTTTCGATTTATCGCTGAATTCTAGTTAGAAACGGCAAGCCTGGAAATCCCCAGCTCTCAAAGGAATGACGCATGATATGCGCCAGCAAGCAAAAACAATACTTACAGACATGCATATACAAGTATAGTAGAGCTGGAAAAACAATCGATCGTTTTTTATTTCAAACATATCTCTTGATTTTCTCCCTAATATTAGCTTTTTTAAAGTAAAGTTAAATTTAAAAAAACATCGATGTTTTTTTGCGACGCATCGAGCAGAGACATCGATGTACATTAACATCGCTGTTTTCCCTTCGACTTACATACCTAGTCTGTCGTAGTGAAACAGAGGAGGATGTAAGTAAAATTTTTGTTGTGCCTTCATTATTCATTATTCATTTATGCAGAAATAATTGGTAGCAGTTTATCTTTGTGATGTTTGTTTATAGTTGTGGATAGCGATAAATAATGGACAAGTACCTTCCAAGAGCGTACGCAAAGCTGGGCAAATAATTTCAGATCGGAGATGTTCGCTAAAATCAAACATAGTGGATAAGCTTTTGTTTTTGAACAAAAATAAAAATTAAACTAATAACAGTATCATCAAAATTGATTTTTAAATATATCCTCGGATTTTAAAAAACATTGAAAACATCGATGTTTCATCAAACTAATAACAGCATCACCTAACATTGATTTTTAAATATATCCTCTGATTTTACAATACACCGAAAACATCGATATTTCATCAACCTAATAACCATATAAAATTGTTTTTACGTCTGTTCTGTGATTTTACAAAAACATCAAAAACATCGATTGTCGCAAACATTGATGTTTTGCCAGCTCTAATATATAGGGGTTCATGCATACATATGTATAGTATAGTCGAGCCCCAGTCCCAGCCCCCAATCAATGACAACAACGAGAACGATATTGCCAAAGTCAGCGAAGCGTTTTCGGCTCATTAATAAGTTGCATTTAAGCTAATTGTTACAAAATCTTCGAAATACGCGCCCGACAATTAGTGAATGAATGAAAAAGCCTCTAACAATGTTAAACAGTTTGCTTGAAATTTAGTGATTTATACATTTATTATTTATTACTCGCATTGTTATTGTTTGCTTTTATATATGTACATACAACATACATACATATATTGCAGTCGATCGTGCGAAAGTAAAATGTGGAATTGAATTGCAAATCGAATAAGTGCGCGCGCGTCTGGGAAATCATCGAATCGTTATTACACTGCATGCGATTTGTAGTTTCTGTTTTGTCTGTCTGTCTGTCTGTCTGGCAGAACGTCACTCACACTTCTCTTACATACATATGATCAGAACAAGTAAATATATAGATACATATCGAAGTGAATGTTAGGGGTTCCACTTTAGAATGCTAACATATTCCGCAGTAGCTGTATTTCTAATTGCTGAAACTTTTTGATTTGGTGTGGTGTGGAATTTAACAACTTCGTACGAGTTTTCAGTCACAACTAATCACAGCAAACATACTACAAAGTACAATCTCGTTTTTATCCTAAGCGCAATAGTAAGAGGAAAAGGTTTCCTTCCATTGCCAAGTATTGCTCCCCATTTAAACTTCAGCTTGCTTCGATCATTAGCAGGTTCGGGCTTCACAAAAAAACAAAATGGTTAAGAAGAATTGTTTAAAGATCTGCATCAAAAGCAATTAGTTGTAATTTTCTAACCTTGGACTTTAATTGTGCTACCTAACTATTATTGTTATTGATTGCTTTTCAGAATTCCCGCTTTGTTAACAGACTTAGTATCAACATTTTAAGCACCTAAACAAAATATTATCAATGTATACATTCTTTGTGTCCATCTCCGGCATTACGTAGGACAGAGTCTGAAAACTCGAGTGTTACTATTTAAGTCAATATTTGTCAAAACAAAACCAAGTATTGACTCACAATTCTTTAGTCGCTATATTATGAGAATGTTCTATGAGTCTGCTACGATATTTAATGTGTGAATAATTGATTTTTGTGATGGTTTAAAATTACTTTAGAATGTAGAAACTTAACTTTTTTTAAGAAAAGTCAATGTCGGAAACGTTCTTTGAAATTTGTTGCAGCCTTAAGGTAGCTTGTGGACTGTTTCCGGTCAGAGTGCTACGGATGTAAGAGGCTTAAATAGATTCTTCAGCTCATAGTCATTGCCTGCCAGCCTTCTCTTTAGTAAAATAATTGTAAATGAATTTCTTAATAATTGTCATTCATAAAAAATTGTTACGTTTCTGTGCAAAAATCCAAAATTGTTTTTAAAAATAGCAAATAAATTTAAATCATTCCTTTAGTTTCTATTCGTTTTCATTGCTAAAACAAAAAGTCTACAAATATTGCGTGCCAGCCTTCTCTTTATTAAAAAGATTGTAAGTAATTCTCTTAATAATTATCATTCATAAAAAATTGTTACGTTTCTGTGCAAAAATCCAAAATTGTTTTTAAAAGTAGCAAATAAATTTAAATCATTCCTTTAGTTTCTATTCGTTTTCATTGCTAAAACAAAAAGTCTACAAATATTGCGTGCCAGCCTTCTCTTTATTAAAAAGATCGTAAGTAATTCTCTTAATAATTATCATTCATAAAAAATTGTTATGTTTCTGTGCAAAAATCCAAAATTGTTTTTAAAACTAGCAAATAAATTTAAATCATTCCTTTAGTTTCTATTTGTTCTCATTGGTAAAACAAAACGTCTGCAAATATTGCGTATGGGTGTGAAGAACAAAGGAAAACAAAAACGTATTTCACACTGTATTTGTATTGTTAACAATAATGTCAGGTGGAGAAAAGATATATGTTAATTATAATTAATTATTGTTTTGAACTTTTAGCTCACATTATGCACAGCATATTAAGCATTTTTTTGTTTGCCTTTATGTTTTATGTATTTTTGAGTGCTTCATAAATTAATACAAATTAAAACTATATAATCAAAACAATAAAAAAAACCAATTAGCACAACAAAGTTGAAAATGAATGCAAGCGGCGCAATTTAAAATGTAAAAATCAACTTTGTTGCATTCTCCATGCATTTTTCCACTAGCTTTGATTGCCCATAAAAATCGGTGAGTTTTCTAAGCGCTTAAACATTTTAATGCTCGTGCGCTTCCTTCGATTGTTTGTTTAATGTTTTTTTTTTCCATACATTGGAAGCTATTTTAAATATGTACATGGTGACAATGAACGGCTGGAAACATTAAGTTGTACTCGTAAAGTAGGCCACGCATCAAAAGGGGGGTTTCTTGGTAAAAAATCACAAAATATCATATCGTGTGATTTTGTTTTTGCATGCTCCGATATCCGCAAAATATTGTTACATGTTGCTGAAACAGATGACTGCGTTTGTGTTCTTCAAAAGCGTGTTTTAAGCTCATTCAATAAAATTATTAATTATATATATACAAAAAAATTATAGGTGTATGTATTTTGTAAGTTTCGCGTGCAGCTTCATGTATAGGAACTCCAAGAAATGATCGGCTATGGAGCTGCATGAAAATGCCATTCGTTGTTTTTATTATTATTCAAATATCTTTAAAATTACACTTAATACTGCACTATTATTAAATATCTTTATTTTATTTTATTTTAATTTATTTTAATTTTAATTTAATTTAATTTTAATTTTATTTTAATTTATAATATTATATTATAATATAAATCATAGTTTTTGTATATGTATCGACAGCACTATTTGTTGATTTACTAAATAAAACAAAATAAAATGTTCTTCAGCTGAAAAATAGTTCTTCCTGAATGCATCTCTCATCGACATCACGGCAAGTTTTTATGCACAAGAATATTACATTTTTTGTTTTTTTTTTTTTTTTATCTGTAATGGATCTAATCACGTAAAAAAGGAATTTAAAAATAATAAGCACATTCTCAAAACAACTGAAGCACACTTTTTTACAAAATACTTTATACAACGACAAAAAACCATTTCATTTGTTTTTAAGTTTCTGAAGACCAAGCAACAAAGCTCAAACGCATATTTATAGGAATATTAAAACGAACAAATAAAAATAATAATTTTCTTTGTATTAGAATTCACACGGCTTTGTATTTGTAACGTCTTTACATAATTAAACATTTGGCTATTATATTTATTTTGTTATTGACGCATATATACAAGTAGGGCTGATTAAAACTTGATATTTAAGCAATTAAAGCAGCTGATCAGTCTTATGTATTATTCGATTAACTTGATTGTCTTGAGCCATCACAGTATTAATACAGACTTATAATTATTTGTCAGTAATAGGCATATGACTCAAGATTATCCTGGCAGGGTATTTCACACTTTTTCAGACACATATTAAGTAGCAAGCAATCAATAAGTTTGGTTTTTTATGCCCCCATCCAACAATTCCCATAGAAATTTTCACAATTCAATTGGAAATTTCATCCACTTGGCCTGAAATTCCCACAATCAACCTATTCCCATATGAAGGAGACACTGAAAAAATAAGCTTTCAGAATAGTTCGATTCGTTGGAGGGGAAAAATATGCAAATATATTTAAATAAGAAACACCTTTCAAGAAATGTTAACGCCTCTTGTTAGACCGGCTTCGGCTCAGCAGA